CATTGCTTCACAGCTGGGCCTCATCTGAGCACCTCCAAACCCCAAAGAAGAGGAATCTGCAGATCTCTCTGTTGCTCCTGCTTGATGGCCTCAGGCAGAGGCTAAATTAACACTTCCTTGGAGATCCAAGAGCCAGTGTACCCAGTAGTCAAGAATGGGACAATCCAAATTACACCTCCTCAGATCCATAAGGGACACACTTAGGGGAACAGATTCAGTGAGCACCAAAGCCCCACTGAAGCAAGTCTTGCCCCATAAGGGTGTCTCCAGCACAGACTTTCTCCCATCATAGACACAGCTGATCCTCACAGCCAATTGGACTGGAGGTCAATTCCTCCCAGTGATACCAATAATAATCAAAGATTAACTACACAAGACTGTGCACACAGCCCACAAAGGGGTGCACCAAGAGTGTCCACCTCAGGTAATTGGGGAGGCTGAGACACTGGGCCCTATAGGACAGGGAGAAATAAAGGGTTTTCCATTTTATAAGGGGCAGTGAGGAAAGGCTTCATTGATAAGGTGGTTTTGGAGCAGATATTTGAAGCAGCATGCTGTGCAGGTAGTGGTGGACTTGTTAGTTTCTTCAGGACTTTGTTATTCTGTGTGAGATGAAAAGCCATAGGAGGGCTCTGAGAAAAGAAATTACGTGATCTGACATATTTTCAAAACATGACAAGCTGCTGTGCTGAAATAGAATGTGTGGGCTAGGATTGCCGGGGGAACCAGTTAAGAGGCTCTTTTGAAAATTCAAGCAAGATAGGATGATGCCCAACATTAGACAATAATTGAGATGATGATAAATGGGTTCCAAATATAAATCAGTGAATCTTGCTCAAGTGTTGAATGTCCATTGTAAAAGAAATGGAAGAGTTAGGCATGAGTCCAAGGTTTCAGGCAATTGAAATTATGAAAATACCATTTATTGATAAAAAAAACTGCAAGAGATTTTTTTGACAATGAAAAAACAGCCCCTATCTGAAACATACCATTCTCAGGAAAGAGGGAAAACAACTATGGTGGAATAGTGCGAAAGCTCGTAAAATACCTGCTCAAACATGGCATATGCCACTTATACTCACATTTTATTGGCCAAAGCCTGTTTCATGGCGTAGTCTACTGTCAATGGGAGGTACTACAAGTCATATGGCAATGGGATGATTATTCAACTGGGATGTATAGTCCTCTTACATAAGGGCAGTGAATAATTGGGAACAACCATATAATCTATCACATCAGCCAAGTGGAGATGTCAAGAAGGCAACTAGATTTGAGTCGAGGGGTCAAGGTTCAGGTTTCAACAATAGCTTCTGAAGTAATGGGATTGACTTACTAAATGAATGTGGACCGAAATGTGAAGCCCAGGGACTCTCCAGTGCCTGGAGGAAAGAGAAATGAGGAGGAGCTTCCAAAAAGCACGGAAGTGTGGCCAGTTGGGTAGGTGGACAACTAAGAGTGGAATTTTGGAAGCCAAAGAATTCAGTGTCAAATGCTGCTGAGAGGTCAAGAAAGATGAGAATTTAAGATTGATCACTGTGCCTGGCTGGTGTGGCTCAGTGGTTGAGCATGGACTCATGCACCAAGAGGTCACCAGTGAGGCTCCCAGTCAGGGCGTATGCCTGAATTGTGGGCTCGGTCCTTAGCAGGTGTACTGGTATAGGAGGCAACCAATCAATGTTGATGTTTCTCACTCACTGATGTTTCTCTCTCTCCCTCTCCCTTCTCTAAAATCAATTTTTAAAAATCCATAATAATAAAAGGGTGATATGGTAATTAGACTGGACAACTCAACAACCTTCTGAATGTCCTTCCTCACAAAGCTGGGGCCGAAGGGAAGCTGGCTAGGGTCCTGGGTGCCTGTGGGCGACCTGGGGGAAGCCAGTAAGGGTCCCAGGTGCCAGGAGAAAGCCGGAGCTGGCAGGCAGGGTAAGGAAGGCCTACTCTTGCACTAATTTTTGTGCATCGGGGCTACCGTGTATGTATGTATGTGTGTGTGTGTGTGTGTATATATATATATATATATATATATATATATATGTGTGTGTGTGTGTGTGTGTGTGTGTGTGTGTGTATATATATATATGTGTGTGTGTGTGTGTGTGTGTATATATATATATATATATATATATATATATATATATATATATAAATATTGGCTACTGTACTGAATAGTATGGAGGTCAAGGACAGGGTTAACGGAGATACTGACAAAAGCCTGATTGGAGTGGGCTTCTGAGAAAATGGAAGAATTACAAGTATAGACAATCCCTGTGAGGTTTGCTGTAAGGAAAGTAGCTGAAGGAGTTTTTAGTGTGTTATTGTTTTTAGTCTATTTTTCTAAGATGGCAGAAATAACAGCATGTTTATGAAAAATCCAGGAATTTTTGCTCTAGTTTATCAAAATGTAATATTATCTATCGTTAAAGGATATACTTTCTTAGATTTGTACGTTAGCAAACACATGACATCCTAATAACAAACTTCTCTTTATATTGAAAACTGACTTTAGAATTAAGAATTGTTGAAGCCCTAGCCAGTTTGGCTCAGCGTATAGAGTGTCGGCCTGCAGACTGAAGGGTCCTGGGTTCGATTCCAGTCAAGAGCATGTGCCTCAGTTACAGGTTACTCCCTGGCCCGGGCCCTGGTTGGGACTCATGCAGGAGGCAACCAATTAATGTGTTTTTCTCACTTCAATATTTCTCGCTCTAAAAATCAATGAAAAAGTATCGTTGGGTGAGGATTTAAAAAAAAAAAATTGTTACTTTTGTGAAACCAGGAAACTATCGATATAATCTAACAAACATATTCAATGAATAATAAATTCTGTTAAAAAACATAAGCATGATTTTCAAGATAAGAGAAATGACATAGCTTAGTTTTTAATACACGAGGTAAAGAAGAATTTATGTTACAAAAAGAACCACATTTATCACGGGGGAAAATCCCAAACTAATAAGTGAACTGCTCTTATTTACATAAGACATTTATTAAGAAAAAAAAAAAAAAAGCATCCTGAGGAACCAGGACCATCTTAATTTGCCAATGAAATCAGACAACTGAAACACAATGTAATAGAAATGGAATTTCTCTTCTTCCATAAAACCAAGTCTAGGAATGCTAGTAAACTTAAATGCAAATGTAAAGACTGCAAGACCAATTTTCTATATAAATCCTTCCAAAGTCCCATTTCAGAAACAGGGATGAGAGAGTTAGGAGAGACAATCTCTGAATCCACCTTTTACATTCAATTCTTTGCTTCACTGACTTCTGATAGTTTGGCGAATTGGAGGTCAGCATTTCTTTTTAAATGCCAAAACTTGACAAATACAATTTGAGAAAGACAGAATAAATCCCAAATGCCTGTACAATTTTCTGTAGGTCCTTGAATTCTACCTAAAAAAGTTACCAAATTTAAGACATAAGTAATTTCCTTTATTTAGATGGTACAATTTTAACAAAAAGCATTATCCAAATTCTAGGATAATTAAGGTGGCACTAAAGTCATATACCCCAAATTCAAGTGTTATTATGCTTTCTGTTATTCTGGGTTATGTGGGGTGTATGTAGGATGATGTATGCAGAGATTAACTTTTCTGGGGGCAGGGGAGTGGTGGGGGTGGATTTTCAATCTGGTCCTAGCTCAGTTTCCTCTCTATGTTCAGAAATCTTCCTCTTTGGAATTGGATACTATTGGCCACTAATATGATCCACTTATAAATAGGTTTCCATCCCTCACCCTCCCTCCCTCTGCCATGGTCTCAAAAAAAAATGTGCCACCTTACCTAGTTCAGGACCTGATTAGAGATCCATTCTCAGCCAAAGCTGAAAACAAGCACACTTGACCTCCGATAGTTTCCAGATTTCAGCTTAGTACAGAGAGAAGTCATGGGCCCTTGACCGTCCTCTTCTGTCCAACATTAGTCTTATTACTATTCTACTACAGGAGCTATTTTCCTTTAAAATATTTAAGATTTATACGTTTAAATATTCAAATGCTATGGAATAGGATAAGACTTAAAAGAAGTATTAATTTGGAAACACACACACACACACACACACACACACACACACACACAAACAAGAAACCTGAATGAGATATCTTATTTTAAAAGAGAGACCCAAATTCCCTGGTTTTCAAATTCAAATTTGACTCGTTTAAAAGAAAAAAGGTCCAGAGAGGTCTTACATTTCCTGATCCCACAGAAACATTCAAATTACTTTATATGTACTATGCTTCCTCATATCCAGTTTTGCTTAACTGTAAAATACCGGTGCACAACAGCACTGAAAATGAGACAAACATAAGCCTTCAGTTATTTAAGAATAGTTATGACCTCAATCAAATCAGATTAGAAAACCAAATTTGAAATATTTTAAGGAGTTAAATTATTGTCTAACTATATGAAATTTTTCAGAGTAATTTTACAAGGAGAGAATTGGATAGAATTTGGTACTTTCCCATATCAGCAGTGACATGGAAAAAAAAAAATGGCAGGTGGAAAAGGGGAGAGAGGAAGAACACAGTGTATAGAGTGAATTATAATGGGGGAAAACCAGTTTCAGAAAAAAATGAGTGAAGAATCTGAAACCATAAGAACAGAGTATCAAATTATATATATGTATATATATACAATAATTTTTTTATCTTAAAAATAAAACTGGAATGTAATTTCATTTAAAATGTACAGCATGCAAAATGCTCTGTAATGGTAAAAATAAATGTACCACAATGTACACTTTCACAATTTTCCAGTAGATTACATTTATGGGTCAAAAATTATCATTATAACCTTTAATCAAATGTTATTTTTGTTTGTTTGTTTCAGCATTACAATTTGCTGTAATTCATTAACTTTGATCTAAGTGAGTTTTAGACACTGATCTCATATAGGTAGTTAGGTCCTTATGTCAAGCACTCATTTACCAGAGAGATCTCTGTCATCATTTGTGTGGACAATGCTCAGTGATACCTGAGCCATTTTGATGAAGGGGATAGGCTGTAGTTTTGCACTAGACTTTTAATTACTCAATTGTATTTCTTTTCACCTTGATACCTTATGATCATTAGAAAGCTACTTACCTAATCTTATGGCCATATTTATGCTAAATGCCCATTTGTAACTGTGAGGAACTCAGGTTACAGACATGCTACAGACTATGGTGTTATAAAAAATCAAGGACACAAGTTCTGCGTAAGAGATTTACTTCTCTCCCTTTCTCTTAAAGCAAGAAATATCCCACAGTTCAGGTTTACATAAGTAGTGCCTTTTTAAATAAATTAAAAGTAAAATGTTACCTTATCTATAAAATTATAAATATTTCTAGCCCATTATACAGAATGTCAAAATACTTATAAATGTATTATGTCCTAATAAATACACATGATGGCACTGAAGCCAGTTAAAAAACAAAAAGCCAGTCATTACACTGGCCCATGGAAACATAGGGTTTTTTCTTTTGCCATCACAAAAATTAAACCAAGTAAGAAAGCAAAGGAGAAATAATAAATTTTACAAAATGGCAACTACTATGACCTCAAAGGCTGTATTAAAATGCCTTCCTTCAATTCAGTAACCAAGCCCATTCTGGAATGAACATTTATGGATAACCAGGTTAGGAGAGTGCCCCTCTTAGTGCTCAGGGCAAAATCATAAGGTATGTAAAAATAATTTTTATATTCTATAACGGCAGACTGAAGCGGTGTGACTTTAAAAACCACAAACCAAGATTTAGCCAACACATTCAGTACTGGCAGGTTTTGATGGAGTGAAGTCTTCAGTGGAAATAAAATTAATAACCCTATGGATGCTGCTTATTTTTACCAATATGAAGAAAGAAAACATGATTGTAAGGTACAATATACTCTGACAGGCCAAAATAAGAAATTGTGATCAATTTAAGTTAACTGTTTCCTACTAAAACATAAAAACTTGATTTCCAAACTGGTTCAATTTGTAATGTGTCTCTTAGAAGAAGTAGTTTTAGTTCTGTAGATTGTTGAATTGCCCTTTTACATAAAATATTTCCTTCATCTTAAAAAAAAGTGGCTTCTGAATGGCGTTGACTCCTTCAATGTGGGAAAGAAGGCTCAACAAACTTGTTTCCAAGGTCCCTCTGAAGTGATTCATTCCATCAAATCTATAATATCTCCAAGTCAACATGTCGAACTTCAGGATTTCGTTTCTGAAAGGAAAAATCACCACCATGTTATTCAGAGCAAAACAGAATCTTCTCTTTGTAGTATTCCTTTTGGTCACTAAAGCCATTGAAAACATTTGATCAAACTATTTCACTGTAGCATACTGTTTGGCCAATTTGCATATCAGGCTTCTGTTATATAGGATTTTTTTTAAAAGAGGTTATCAGTTGTCAGGCTTTGGTATATCAAAAGAGAATAACAAAATCATTTGAAAAGGTGTATGAATATGCTTATGCTCCTTCCTTTCTTCATATTATTCAACCAAAAGAATATATGGCAGCAGAATGAATGTAGAGACAGACATAGGAATCTAGCTGTTTTTGAGTTTTACAAAAGTGTGAAACAATACCACTGTTCTCACTAATTTTTTTCATTTTAGAAAACATTTTTTGTTAAAATGTTACTTACATTAACATGTAATCAATTTATGTTTTTAAATAAAATATTTTTCAATTTCTCAGTTTTAATTTATGATTTGGTAAATATCAGCAACTATAAACAAACAAAAGCTCTTTGGGTCCTCAATAATTTTTAAGAATGTAAAATATGTGAAAATTGTTCATGTACAAACTTCAAAAATATTGCCTGACAAAGTTTTTGAACTATAATATTAACATTAATAAAATAATCTTAATTGAAGTACTTCTATTAATGTGATCAGATCTGGATTATAAAAGAAAAGAGAATAAGTAGTGATATGCTTCCCCTCAATTTTTGCTTTTGTTTTCCTTCAATTTTTAACAAAATTGAAGAATGGTCTCCCTAACCAGTTTGGCTCAATGGATAGAGCGTTGGCCTGCGGACCGCGGGGGGGTCCTGGGTTTGATTCCAGTCAGGGGCACATGCCTGGGTTGCAGGCTCAATCCCCAGTAGGGGGCGTGTAGGAAGCAGCCGATCAATGATTCTCCCTCATCATTGATGTTTCTTATCTCTCCCTCTCCTTTCCTCTCAGAAATCAATTAAAACTATATTTTTAAAAAAAATGGTCAACATTACCTGGAAAAGAATGTATGGCCTTCAAAAAGCTATGTTAAAGATCATTTACAAGTTTTATTTACTCCAAACAAATAGAACTCAAATGTCAATAAATGACAATCTAAGAACACTGAGAGTTTTTAAAAGTTTTCAGTAAAATAACCAATAGGTTGTTATGATCTCCAACTGAACAAAACAAAAAGAAAATATAACATCAGATAGACTAAAAAAGCAAGATACATGTGTTTGTCACCCACCATTTTTTCCCTAACTTAACAAACACATTTGACTAAATATTTTAAATACTATGCAAGCATATAGAATAGTGACAGACGTAAAGAAATTAAAGTTGAGCTACATAGGTTCAAATCCCAATTACCCTACTTTCTTGAACAAATTATTTCGAGTTTTACAAAATAATTTTTCCAACCCAATCATTTCTCACCCAAGGCAACCAATAAAACATGGGTTATTGAGATAATATACATAAGATGCAATTAGCATAGTGTCTGACATACAGTAAGTACTCAAAAAATAAATTATTACTGTAATATTATTATAATGAATATATCTTACTTTTAGTTCCTTCTCAAGTCTATCTACTTCAGCTCCCAAAGTATCAATAATATTTTCTCCATGTTTAAGCATAAATGTCTCTAGTTCTTCAGGAGTTTTTACTTCTTGAATTTCCTATAAAGAGAATGATAGCAGAAAAACAAAATAAAAATTTTATAAAATCACAGTAATATGTTGATGATTTCTTTTAAAAAGTTTAATGAAAAATGAAAAACTTTTTTAAGCTGGCCCTGCTCAGTTGGTTGGAATGACACCAATATACCAAAAGGTTGTGGTTTCCATCCCCAGTCTGGGAGCTTACAAGAAAGCAACCAACTATTCAACTATTGATGTTTCTCAAATCAATGTTTCTCTCTCTGATTACTGTCTTCCTCCCTCTCCCTCCCTCCCTCCCTCCCTCCCTCTCTCTCTCTCTCTCTCTCTCTCTCTCTCTCTCTCTCTCTCTCTCTCTCTCTCTCTCTCTCTTCTTTCTCCCTTCTCCCCTTTCTCTCTAAAAATCAATAAGCATGTCCTCAGGTGAGGATTAAAAAAATTAAAAAGATGCCCTAAATGGTTTGGCTCAGTGGAAAGAGCGTCAGCCTGCAGAGATCCCAAGTTTGATTCTGGACAAGGGCATGTACTTTGGTTACGAGCACACACATTAGGGGGTGTGCAGGAGGCAGTTGATTGATGTTTCTAACTATCCCTCTCCCTTCCTCTCTGTAAAAAAAAAAAAAAATCAATAAAATATACTTTAAAGTAAATAAATAAATAGGCAATTTTCAAGCCACAGGCAATAAAAAATCTATTTCTGAAAAACTTATATTCAAGAAAAATTGAGTAAAATACCACATTAAGGTAGCATAGAAATTAGTGGTAAAAAGCAAAAACAAAAACAAAAACACTATTCAGTAAATAGTACTAGCTCTCTATTCCTCTCCCTTCTTCTCTGTGAAAAAAGATCAATAAAATATTTAAAAAAAAAACAATATAAAAACAAAAAAACATAACTGCCTCTACTATGTGGCCACTTCTTCTGGCATTTCCAACCACTTCTGTGTGATTTAAGCTTCTTTTGAAGATTTAAAAAAATATATGGATTATTTATTTTTTGTAATCCTCACCTAAGGATATTTTTTTCTGTTAAGTTTTAGAGAGAGTGGAAGAATGGGGGTTGGGTGGGAGAGAAACATCGATGTGAGAGAGAGACTTCAATGGGTTGCCTCCTGCACATACCTGACCAATGGGGCAAGGGGATAAAACCTGCAACCCAGATACATGCCCTTGATGGGATATCAAACCCGAGAAATTTGGTGCATGGACTGACACTGTAATCACTGAGCCATACCAGCCAGGACAAAAATATTTCTTGCCAAAACCAGTTTGGCTCAGTGGATAGGGCATCAGTCTTTGGACTGGATTGATTCCGGTCAAGGGCATGTACATTGGTTGCGGGCACATCCTTTACCTCACCAAGGTTGTTAAAAGTACATTAGGTAATATATATAAAATGTCTGGCCAGCACTTTATACGTTTGCACTTCTCTCTCCTCTAGTCCACTCTACAGTAAATAAAAGGATCTCTGTCAAATTTTAGAACCCTAAGAAGTTGAAGGCTAAAGTGACTTTATGAACTATAAAAAAAAAGTTTTATTTTAGCCCTGGTCAGGGTGGCTCAGTTTATTGGGCGTCATCCGCACCTTGAAAGGCTGCTGGTGCACATGCCCAGGCTGCAGGCACAATCCCCAGAGGAGGTGTGCAGGAGGCAGCCCATCAGCTCTCACATCAACGTTTCTCTGTCTTTCCCGCCCTCTCTTTTTTTCTCTCTCAAAAACATATTTTTAAAAATATTTATTTCATTTATTTAAAAAGTAACTTTTTAAACCACTGCTTTTATAAGAAAACAATAAATACATACACTTACCTGTAGCATTTGGTCAAAATCTTGTTTTTCCAAATATGATCTTGTAACAACTCGTCCATCAAAATCTACTTCTGCCTTAAATCTTACTTTACCTAGCCCCAAATCTGTGGCTTTAACATCATGAATTGCCCTGCAATCAATAACAATGGTTACAAATGGTTACATATATATATGCTTTAATGGCACATAGTCTAGAATTATTTTTTCCACCAGTGATGAACATGGACTAAAATAGCTTTCTGAGTGTTTACCATTAAGTGCATCTATCATTTTCCAAACAAATGTCCATTTAGCTATTTTTACATAATGCCAAAGTGTAAACTTAATAAACATTATTTTATGGTAATCTGTATATACATAAATTATAAAGTTAATAGATTTTTAAAAATCAACTCTAAATTACTTTTCAATAATCTGGTCATTCTAACTCATGGTCCCTTTTTTCTTTTTTTAATATATTTTTATTTATTTCAGAGACGAAGGGAGAGGGAGAGATAGAAATGATAAGAAAGAATCATTGATTGGCTGCCTCCTGCATGGCACCACTGGGGAATCAATCCCGCAACCCAGGCACATGCCCTTGACAGGATTTGAACCTGGGACTGTCAGTCCATAGGCCGATGCTCTGAGCCCACCAGCTGGGCTAAATAGCTTCTTTAAAAGTTTTCAAACAATGCTCTAAAGTACTCTACTAGAATAGCTTAGTAATAACTACCTAATGAAACAAATGTAATAAATTGAGTCAACACATATATAAAATGCTAAAGTTACCAATTCCATGGCAGACATTTACCAACCAGTATTGAATGGCTTTTACAAAGTAGGTACAATGATATCTTTATAGATTAGGGGTGTCGAACTCAATCAGAGAAGGGGCCAAAATCTAAAATCCAGCCTAAATCGCGGGCCGAATGGTTTACTGAACACTCATAAACTGTCATTGTGATGGAAACGCAGCGGAGTGCAGTGATGACAGCGCGGTGCGGGCCACATTGCAAGGCCTGGCGGGACGGATTTGGCCCGCGGGCCTTGTGTTTGACACATGTGTTATAGATGATAAAAAAAAGCCCCACAGGGGCACTAGCAACGTGTCCAAGGCAATTCAACTAGTCAAGAGCAGAGCCTGGACTCACCCAGATCTTCTCTTTCCATTATACCATTTTGCCTCTCAGAAAGGGAAGCTCAAGCATAACTGTGTTTCATCCTTTCTGCCCATACCCTCTGGAATCAATCTTCTCTCAAAAAACTATTGAGAAATTATTTTCCTTCTATGATAATCACTATAACATCTTAATAGGACATATACGAGAATAAGAAAACATTGTGAATCCTAGGGTCATAGAGAGCTTTAGGGAAAACAAGTCTAAATGAGACTCCAAGTATTCTTAAAACATTTGACTCTAATTTCTGAGTGATCTTGAGCAAGTTACTAAATACTGAGTCTGAAAGTCTTATCTACACAAAGAAACATATTCATTAACTATCGAGGATAAAAATAAGGATAATTAACATTGTCCTGGCTGTTGTGGTTCAGTTTGTTGGGTGTCATCCCATGCATCGAAAGGTTACCTGTTCAATTCCTGGGTTTCAGGCTCATTCCCTGGTAGGGTATGCAGGAGGCAGCCAATTGATAGTTCATTCTCATATTGATATTTCTCTTTCCTGCTCCCTTCCTCCCTCTCTAAAAATCAGTAAATTATTCTTTTAAAAAAGGAATTAATATTGATAAAGTTATATGTGTCCAAGTTGAAATAAAACTTGTTCAGATTGTCAAGAGGTTATGCAATTTATTCTTTTTTAAAAAATATATCTACCTCAGTCCTTACAAAATACTACTAAATTTGATTATTTACTATACATGAGTAGCAGGTAATGAAAATATCCTAATGTACACTTTCTTTGTGTTCTTATACAAAACTAAGCTGTCATAGGTAGTATCTGTCATGGTTCCATATGATCCCTGCCTCCTGTTTTTAAAGCCCTGTACAAGCCTCTCTTCTTGAATGTGAGCTAGACCTGGTGACTTGCTCCTATTCAACAGAGTATGGCAAAGTGATGAGATGTCATTTCATCACTTTTTAAACATATGTATTGTATTTTATTGATTTTTACAGAAATGAAGAAAGAGGGATAGAGAGTTAGAAACATCGATGAGAGAGAAACATAGATCGGCTGCCTCCTGCACACTCCCTACTGGGTATGTCTGCAACCAAGGTACATTCCCTTGACCAGAATCGAACCTGGGACCCTTGAGTCCGCAGGCAAGAGGCAGCTGATCGATGATTCTTTCTCATCGATGTTTCTAACTCTATCCCTCTCTCTTCCTCTCTGTAAAAAAATCAATAAAATATATATTTTTAAAAAATTTTTTAAAAAATAAAAAGCTGTAGACTTTCTGGATTACTAACATTTATTTTTTCCAACCATTTAATATACAGATCTTCACTCTTATAGAAAAGTTCAAATTTGTCAGTCAGTCTTTCCACTTATAGCTCTTCTTTTACACTTAAATACATAAAACAAAAACTGAGAAAAATAAAAGCAGAAATAGGCAATTCAACAATAGTTGGAGACTTCTAATATCCTACTTGCAGTAATGAAAAAAAATAACTAGACAATAAGATTAACAGGAAAATAGAAGGCTTAAAAACTATAAATGAATTAAATGTAACAGACATATATACAATAGTATGCAAGATAGATCATATGGTAGGTCATAAAACAAACCAGTAAATTTAAAGAACATGTTCTCCAACCAAAATGGAATAAAGTAGGAAATCAATAACACACAGACATTTGGGAAACTCACAAATACATGGAAATTAAGACACTTATAAATCACCAATGCTAAAGAAGAAATCAAAAGTAAGATTAGAGCCGAAACAGGTTTGGCTCCGTGAATGGAGTGTCGACCTGTGGACTGAAGGGTCGTCCCGGGTTCGATTCCAGTCAAGGGCATGTACCTTGATTGCCGGCACATCCCTGGTGAGGAGTGTGCAGGGGGCAGCTGGTCCATGTTTCTCTCTCATCGATGTTTCTAGCTCTCTATCCCTCTCCCTTCCTCTCTGTAAAAAAATCAATAAAAAAAAAAATATTTTTTAAAAGTGAGAAAATTATTTTAAATAAATGAGAATAAAGCCTCAAAATATCAAAATTTATAGGAAGCAGCAAAAGCAGAGCTTGGAGGGAAATTTGTAACTATAAAAACTTATATTAAGTTTAAGGATAGCAAATCAAAACTTAACCTACTATCTTAAGAGAAATTGGAAAAAGAGCAAACTAAACCTAAAGCAAGCATAAAAAAGAAAATAATATAGGTTAGAGCAAAAATTCATGAAATAGAAAATAAAAAAATAACAGAAAATGAATTCAACCAAAAGATGGCTTTCTAAAAAGATCAACAAAATTTACAAACCTTTAGTTAGACCAACCAAGAAAAACAAGAGGAGGCTCAAATTACTAAAATCAGCATTGAGAGAAAAAACACTACTAAAGAAATAAAAAGAACTACAAAGAAGTACTATGTACTGTTGTTAGATAACTCAGAAGTAGTGGACAAATTCTTAGACACCAAGTACCGGAACTGACTCAAGAAGAAAAAGACAATCTGAACAGATGTATAACTAGTGGAGATAAAATTAGCAATTAAAAAAAAAAAAAAGCAAACAAAAAAAACAAAAAACTAGTCATACAGAAAAGGCCATGCCCAGATGACATCACTGCTGAATTCTACCAAACATTTAAAGAAATACTAACAAATATTCACAAACTCTTCCAAAGAATATAAGAAAAGGAAACATTCCTCAACTTTTCTATAAGGTATTACCGTGATAACCAAAATCAAAGATATTACAAGGAAAAGACATTAATATGGATTTTTTTACATTAAGTTACTAAGCTTAATACTTATTTTAAGAATGCTCAACTTCTTTAAAAAATATATATATATTTTTTTAAATATATATATATATATATTTTTTTTTTTTTTTTTTTTTTTTTTTTTTTTTCATTGATTTCAGAGCGGAAGGGAGAAGGAGAGAGATACTGAAACATCAATGATGAGATCTGACTTTGGATGCATGCAGGAGACAACCAATGGAGTGTCACTTGATGTTTCTCTCTCTTTCTGTCCCCTCCCTTCCACTCTCTCTAAAAGTCAATAAAATAAAATAAAAAATAGTCTCAGGTGAGGATTAACAACAAAAAGAATGCTCAATTTCTAATCTAGATCCATCTAGTAATTATTTTTCAAGATTAAACATACAGGTCTTAATCACTCATTTGTTTTACCAATTCAGACATATAGGCCATTCTTAAAAGATGTAACTCAAAGAGTTTAATTATAACCAAGAAGAAAAATACACTTTTTAAAAATATATATTTTATTGATTTTTTACAGAGAGGAAAGGAGAGGGATAGAGAGTTAGAAATATCGATGAGAGAGAATCATTGATCAGCTGCCTCCTGCACACCTCCCACTGGGGATGTGCTCGTAACCCAGGTACATGTCCTTGACCGGAATCAAACCCAGGACCTTCCAGTCCGCAGGCCGACGCTCCATCCACTGAGCCAAACCGGTTTTGGCAGAAAAATACACACTTATTTTAAAGTTTAAAATTGGAATTTTAACGGATTGTTCCTTCCACTTCATTATGAAACTACACTGCTACTGAATTTCACTGAAAAAATACTATCAGAACTCTGTATCTTGCCCTAGATAGTTTGGCTCAGTGGATAGATTCCAGTCAAGGGCATATGCCTGGGTTGTTGACTCGATCCACAGTAAGGGTCATGCAGGAGGCAGCTGATCAATGATTCTCTCTCATCATTGATATTTCTCTCTCTCTCCCTCTCTCTTCCTCTCTAAAATCAATAAAAATATATTAAAAACAACAACAACAACAACAACAAAAAACAGGCCTCTGTATCTGATTCTCTTCTAAGTCTTCTGTTCTTTATTCTTATACTAGAGGCCTGGTGCACAAAATTCGTGCACTGGGGGGAGGGCGGTGTCCCTCAGCTCAGCCTGTAGCCTCTCCAATTTGGGATCCCTCTCACAATCCGGAATTGCTGACTCCCAACCACTCACCTGCCTGCCTGCCTGATCACCCCCTAACCATTCCCCTGCTAGCATAATCAACGCCCAACTACTCCCATGCTGACTCGATTGCTCCAACTGCCCTCACTTTGCCAGCCTGATCGCCCCCAACTGCCCTCCTCTGCTGGCCATCTTGTGGTGGTCATCTTTTGACCACATTGGGGTGGCCATCTTATGAGAGGGTGTTATGGTCAATTTGCATATTACTTCTTTATTATATAGGACTAAAGGCCCTGTGCATGAATTCGTGCACAGGGGTCTGGCTGGCCTGCTCCATTCGGGGCTGATCGGACCAGGCCAGCCAGGGGGGTAGGCGGTGGGCGGTTGGCAGGCCCTGCCCCCTGGTTGAACTTGTGGTTGAACTCTCAGTTCAGGGAGCAATTTGCATATTAGCATTTTATTATATAGGACAATTTAAAAGATAGAGATTATCAGGAAAAACTTAAAATAAGTTAAAACAATAAATTTATTTTTGAAGAGAATATAAATTATATTAAATATGGTAATCACTTCCCCATGATAAAAATCTTCTTAAATTTAGTATATTCAATTTATAATTGTAATACAAATATAAGGCAAATATAAATATGAAAGCTCCACCCAAGTGGTTTCACATTAAGGAGACAACTACTTTGCAAATTTCTGTTCCTTATTCTAAACATTAAAGATACACAAAATTTAAAAGAATACTTAAGAAGTTTCCTAAATGCTTTCATTTGCTAATTGTTGTAAGTTTGCAACTCTGAAAATAGATTAAAAAGTTCTGAAGTCTAGGAATCTAAAACCTCTTCTGAAAGTATTTACAACCAAACATACCTATTTCTTAATGATCCTATAAACCTTAGCAGCAGCATAGGAATAAACTGACCTTACTGATGGGTCATTCTCCAGGAGTTCAGTAAGCCGCTGTACTTGTTCCGGCTGGATGGATCGCCCTAGCAGTGCTTCGGTGTTAGTGTAAATGAGGAATGCTGAGACAACGCCTAATAAGGTGCCCACACCCAAAGAACCTAGGCTGTCGTACAGTGGATTGCCTAAATAAAGCACATAAGAAGTCAGTAAGTTAACATTTTCTATTACTTCATTGAGCTTTAGAACATAATCAATAAATCAAAGGACTTCCAATTCATTCTGATTCCTTTAATGACTTTCTCCTAACAGATTTAGTTACCTTACCACAAAATGGGGATGACACAACTTGCTTCATATTACATGGGAATATTACTGGGCTTAATTATTTAAGATCTGTTTTTTGCATCTGGCTATTATATGGGTGAAGCTTCAGAGCATTTTCAGATTAGAGAATTCATGTACATACTAGAGGCCTGATCCACAAAATTCATGCAAGGGCCTTAGCCCCAGCCCTGCCACCATTACAGTCGGGGGCCTCTGCCACCTTTGCTGCAGCCCCCGCCTGCTGAGGCTTTGTCCAGAAGGAAGGACGTCAGGAAGCATGTCTGGTCTAATTAGCATATTACATTTTTATTATGATAGATTAACAACATAATAAAGAGTCCATTTCTGTTAGCAGTATCAATAGCACTTTTCTTATCCCAGGTTGACAAAATAATTATAAGCTCAAAAACTGAAAGAAATAATAATTTTTGTATCTTATTCCTACCAAAGTTTTATGAGAAAATTATAAAAGCCATATAAAAACATATATGGTTCATTCCTTTATCTTTCAATCAAGAGTGATTACATAGCTAATACTATATGGATACTAAAAAGAAAGTTCATTCACTGCTGCTCTAGGTACCTTTGAGCAGTGGTTCTCAAAGTAATATTTTGGTCCTTTGACCATCAGCATCAGCATCACATGAGAACTTAATAGAAATGCAAATTCTCAGGCCTTACCCTAGATCTTCCAAATCAAAAACTCTGGAGGTGGGGTCTGGATTCTGTGTCTTCCCAACCTCCAGGCAATTCTGATTCTAAAATTTGTCTTTGATTATTAGGGCTTAATTCTCTTCCAAAACCAATGAGATGCTTTATAAATATGTACATTAATCTATATATATAAAAGCCTAAGTGACTGTTACGACCGGTTGCTATGATGAGCACTGACCACCAGAAGGCAGATGCTCAATGCAGGAGCTGCCCCCTGGTGGTCAGTACACTCCCACAGCCAACCTCCTGCGGCCAGCCAATTTCCTGTGGTCCCTCCCCCCAGGTAGGTGATCCTGATTGGGGCTGGACAAGACAGCACCAATTGGCCCCAAATACTGGCTGGGCCAAGGGACCCCACCCTTGTACAAATTTGTGTACTGGGTTATCTAGTATTTATATAACAGACATCAATTAAATATTACAACACATGGCTTTTATTACTAGAGAAATCTGTTTATTCGAAGATAAATGTCAATATTAAATTTAAGTCTCTTAATGCTTGATAAACCATAATTTACTAAAAAACTCAATTTACATACTAGTTTTATTAATATTTAGTAAGAAATATAACACTGAAAAGTAAACTGACTTTTCTGAATTAGTCTTAAAAATGATCCACTTGTGAATACAGTATAATGTACTAGGAGGCATATAATTATAGAGATTGAAATAAAATATATTGCATTGCACTTTAGAAATCCAAATTTCATCATTTTTATTTAAAAATATATGTATATAAATAATCCTACAGAAATCACAGGAATATTAGCTAAAAATATATTTATTGGCATGTTAATTTAATTTAAATTAATTAATTTAACTAAATAAAACTTAATTCATGTGAATATGCTTAAAACAAAAATTTTATGTTTGACTAACATAATATAAAAGAAAATAATCTATTAAAAGTTTACTTGTCAAGTCACACTTTTCTTAAGCCTGAAATTTTGCTAATAATGATTTATATCTAAAATGATAAAGTTAGCCAGAAAAACAATAAAACATCAAAGAATTCTGGTTAAGACTTAAAATGTATATTCAAAATGAAAAGACCTGTTCATATTTTAGAGTATTTTAAAAAACACTATAGAACTATAAGAACTTATCACCTCCAATTATTTAAATATGCAAGTACAAATGGTTTAAAATGGAAGGAGTTCCATTCAAGACTATTCCAACCTCAGAAATTTGAGTCTTTGCATACTAAATGATTCTGTTTTACATTTTGACTTCTAATTCATCTGTAATATACTGGCCTTTAAAAGACTTAACTAGCTACCAAAATGAGGGTGGAACCAACTTGAGTCAAGGAAATAGGAAAGCAATAGCACTTATTATTGGGACTAATAATGCAAAAGAAATTAACAAGAGCCACAATATGTATTTATTTAGCGCTTTAGAATTTATTAAAGTTCTCTTTGCATTTATCTTAATAAACCTGTGAGGTCACTAGGACAAATATCAATACTTCTACACATAATAACTGTGTAACTTATGGTAAAGAATAATTGCATAATTCATTAAGTCACAGTTAGAAAGGTTTAGTGTATTACCGAAATGCTCTATTACAGACTTCCTTATTTCTAAGAGAAATTCTTAACTCAAGAGAAATTTTATACTTTTACTGACCAAATGTTTTATACAAATAAGTTAATAAGTTAGGTTAGTATAAAATTAACATCTAACAATCTATCGACTTAAAATTATTCAATGATGTAAAAGAAAATTTCCACATAGGATTATTTACGTAGTACAAATAAATCACCTGTAACATAAGGAATATTTACCTGTTATGGAAGTAAGGCCCATACAAGTGGCTGCTATTGTCACTCCCAAGACTGCTGCAGTATCCTCCAATAAAATAACATTTGTACTAGGATCACGACTTTCCATTACTTAATCATTGGGGGGAGAGAAAAAAGAAACTTTCTGAAATCTTAACTTGATACTCTCGGATAACATTTTAATAAGTATCCATTTAAAATTAAGATTTAAATGAAGATTAAAAATGTGTGATATCCTGATTTTGAAAACACTGCTCAGTGCAAACAATTTTACATGTTCAAATTGCTTTTTAAGTTACATAAGCATATACATAAATACTGTAGTTTACTTAAGTTAAATGTAAATATAAAGTATTCATGTTCAAATCACATTATACTTCTCTTTTTAAATGAACTGATACAGTGGGGGGACAATGGGGTGATAAAGGACACATATGTGATACCTTAATCAATAAAGAAAAAAATTAAATTTTAAAAAATGAACTGATATATATATAAGAGCCACACATAAGGAAGATATTTTGTACATACTTATGAGGAACAAAGCAATAGTAGTAGGCAATTTTAAGCAAATAAAGAAGATAAAATAATACACATGGTTTCTAAAGCACATACCATACTTGTAAAATGACATTCCTTTGGCTGCAGCACTCCTACGAAGTTCATTTACAGCAACAAGAAGTGTTGCTGAAAGAAAAGCATTCATATCAGCAAGGAAGAAACTTCATGCCTCCAAACTTTAAAGATGGTATCTCAAAAGATAAATAAATATGTATAATACTTTAATGCCATGGTTGGAATTAAGGAAAAGTTCTGAATTAATTAGTCATTATCAAGGTCCCAATTAATCATCACAACATAATGAACCCCATATTTCAAAACCACAGTAATTTAAATATCATTACCACAACAGCAGCTTTAATTTTTTGGACAGTTACTATTTGGCAGGCACCACACTAAGTAAGCATAGTCATTCTTGATCCTCCCAACCTTTTGAGGCAAGTAGCATTATCACCATTGTATGGAAAAGATGAATGAAATAGTATGCATAGAAAGTGACAGTGTTTCAGAAGTAAACATACTATGAGTAAAGCAGTGAATTAGGCAGTTTCATATATGATAGTAGCACTGCTCTGTCATAATATTGCTATGGCTGAAACTTTCAGAAACTTGGACAAACTTCTATTACAAAAAAAGACAGCCTTCTTTGATTAACATACTAAAACCTCTTTTTAGAACTCCATATATAGTTATATTTTTATACTTCATTTCAAATGTTCTGAGTTTTATGATCTGATTAGAGGCCCACTGCATGGATTTGTGCACTGGTGGGGATGAGGCCTGCAGGGATCGGCTCTCGGAAATCCTTAGCACTGCCACGGGTGTGGGAGCACACTGAACCACCAGGGCACAGCATTGAGCGTCTGTCCCCTGGTGGTCACTGCACGTCATAGTGACCAGTTGTTCTGCTGTTCGGTCGATTTGCATATTAGCCTTTTATTACCTAAGATACTCTAGAAGAAATAGCTTTTCCCTTGCCCCCACGCTTTACAGAAACAGCCACAGTACATCATATAGTTTACTCCTTAAAAGTAGACAAAGCTTAGATTCCTATTCCCAATTCTTTTAATTAACTACTAAATATATATTACTAAATTAAGAATAAAGAAATACTATGACAGTACATACCTCCTTCAGATAACAATGATCCTGCTAAAATACAATATGCCTGAAAAATAAATATTAAAATAAAGCATAAATAAATATTTCACTAAAAATCACAACTGTTCATAAATAAAGTTTATAATATTTAAAATGGAAACATGAGCCGGGACCAGTTTGGCTCAATGGATAGAGCGTCGGCTTGGGGACTGAAGGGTCCCAGGTTCGATTCTGGTCAGGGGCATGTGCCTTGGTTGTGGGCATATCCCCAGTGGGGGGTGTGCAAGAGGCAGCTGATCGATGACTCTCTCTCATCGAAGTTTCTAACTCTCTATCTCTCTCCCTTCCTCTCTGTACAAAATCAATATAATATATTTTTAAAAAATAAAAAAATAAAAATAAAAATAAATGGAAACATGAATTTTAATTCAAGCCAGATAAGGATCTTGATGGCAAATGAGGAAAATGAGATAGGTGGTATCTTCATATGAGAAAACAGATAAAAGCTTAAAAATGTTAAAATTATCACCTCATTTCATAATAATTAGAAGATTAATACATATATATACACGCACATATATACGTATATATACATATACATATAACACACATATATGTATATATATGTATATATACGTGTGTGTGTGTGTGTGTGTGTGTATATTACTAGGCGCCTGATACATGAAATTCATACATGTGTAGGGTCCCTAGGCCTGGCCAGCGATCAGGGCCAATCTATGGAGCAACTGGCAGGGCAACTGGTAGGGCAATTGCCAGCTCCGCACCCACGACTGCCACCAATTGCCTCCCACTGTAGCGCCAGGCCACATCCCTCTGCAGATCACCTCCCTCTGCAGGAGGTGACTGGTGGGTGATCTGGGACAGCGCCAACCGGCTTGCCAGCCCTGCCCCCTCGCTGCCAGTTCACTCCCTCTGCGGGGCAACCGGTGGGATGATTAGGGGGGCCCCCACTGGCACTCGCCTTGGCTGGCCTAGGGCCTGTGGGCTGGGGGTAGCTTCTGCATTGAGCATCTGCCTCCTGGTGGTCAGCGCACATCATAGTGACCAGTTGTTCCAACTGTTGTTCCACTGTTCAGTCAATTTGCATATTAGGTTTTTATTATATAGGACTAGAGGCTCAGTGCATGGATTCATGCATGGGTGGGATTCCCTCAGCCTGGCCAGCGCTATTGGGGTGCTGGTTGGTAGGGGGTAGGGACCCCGGGAAGTTGGCCGGCCCAATCAGGGCCAACGGCGGGATGGCCTGGTGGGGGGGCAGAGGAGGGGAGGAGGAGGCAGGGGCTGCAGGAAGTTGGCCAGCCAGCTGGAGGAGGTGAGAGAAAGGGCTGCGAAGGGGAAGGGCCACAGGATGTTGGCTGTGGGAGCACACTGACCACCAGGGGGCAGCTCCTGTGTTGAGTGTCTGCCCCCTGGTGGTCAGTGCATGTCATAGCAACTGGTCGACCATTCACTCTGGTTGTTTAGTCATAGCAGTCCCTTAGGCTTTTATATATATATAGAAATGTATACATGGGTGGGCAAAAGAAGTTTACATTTGTGAGTACATTAAACAGTTTAGATTAAAAATGGGGCATTTATTATTATATAATTTTATATAATTTATTATTATATAATTTTCCATACATGCCCACCCCTATAAATAATATAGTCTTAGGTTATAAGTACCCCACATTCCAAAATGAGGTGCTATACTATTACAGAATGTATACCATGACCTAAGCTCAATTAATGATATAAAAGGTAAAAGTATTATTTAATTAATATAAAATTTTTGAAGTTCAAAATTAATACAAATTATTTGAAATCTGGGGTTGTGAATACCAGAGGCAATAAGGTCCACTTCCATGCTCAAATAACTTATAGATTTGTTTGGATACCAAGTATAAAGAGAATCCTTTCTGAATTCTGATTCCAAGGCATATAGAAAGAATTAAACTAGCAACACAAACTTTTAAAATTTTTAAATGAAATTTAAATCAATCATCTATAGAATTTTTAACATTATTTTGGACCTCTAAGCTTCTCTGAAATAGAGGTTGAAAATTTTGAACCCTGTCCAACACTTTCATAATTCTGTTAAGGAAACTGAGATTTCCAAAGGCTATGTGATTTACTTAATAAGAATTAGAACACACACACACACACACACACACACACACACACACAAAGAGTTAGAACACAGGCTTTTCCGTTTCAATTCTAGGTTCTTTACACTCAATCATGCTGCCAATCTGAAACACAGTAACAAAACTTCCTTATAATTGTTTTTAATCCTTCTATCTTTCCAGAAAGAATTTAATAAGAGGAGATACCATATATCCACCAAGATTTTTAATAAATATAAGCTGGTTTATGGTGTGCTGAATCTACTTTTTACAACAAACAGTCATGGTCCTAATTAAAAGGAACCCCATTTAAGCGGCCAGGCCCGGAGCAGCGGCTGCCAGGCTGGGAGCAGCCAGGCCCGGAGCAGCGGCTGCCAGGCTGGGAGCGGCCAGGCCCGGAGCAGCAGCTACCAGGCTGGGAGTGGCCAGGTCCGGAGCAGCAGGGTCTGGTGCGGCCAGGCCCGGAGCAGCGGCTGCCAGGCTGGGAGCAGCCAGGCCCGGAGCAGCGGCTGCCAGGCTGGGAGCGGCTAGGCCTGGAGCAGCTGGGTCGGGTGCGGCCAGGCCTGGAGCAGCAGCAGCCAAGTCCAGAGCAAGTCCAGAGCAACTAGGTCGGGAGCAGCAGTGACCAGACCCGGAGCAGCTGGTTGTGGAACGAACCAGAGCAACAGAGGCCAGGCCCAGAGCAGCCAGGCACGGAACAGCTCGCTCCTGGCCTGCCCCTGCCCCACGGCTGCCTCTCAGACATGGCTGGAAACTTTTGCGGGAACTTGAGGGTCTGCTGAATCAAGTGATGAAGGCTTAGATCTGGATGTGTTGAGTTAGTATAGCGCTGGGGTGTTGATCTGTGAGTGCCTTGGGTGGGGCCTGGATGAGGCTGGTTGACCTATTTGGAAATGTCTTTTGTGTGAAATGTATCATTGGGCATGTGGTGGTATTATTGATATGAGAAAATGCTAAGTAACTGATTTACTATCTGAAAAAGGATTTACTATCAGGGAAAGGGAGGGAGGAAGAGACTGAACATAAACTGTGCACCTATGGATGAGGACAATGGGGGATGGGGAGGGGGCAGAGGGTGGGGTGGGAACCTGGTGGAGGGGGGAAGAAATGAGGAACCTTTGTAATAATATGAACAATAAAGATTGATTTAAAAAAATAAAAATAAATAAAAGGTACCCCATTTAGTTACTAAAAGATAGAAGAACTTCTAGAAGCTTTAAAACTTATATACACAATTTAAAATTTAATTAATCAATCCCTAACTCCAGTGCAATTAACCTCTTTGCCACTATAAAGTAATATTGTACTAATTAAATGAATGATAAGACAATGAGATAACTATAACATGGTCAAACCCCTGCAGAATGGAGGAAATACCTTCTTCATTTTAATTATCTGAAATGTATTACAGTAAGAAACTAATCAATAAGAACTATAGAAAAAGCCTAGTTTAAAAGGTGTAACAAGGTATTAAAATGAGATGTACTCCAGTTGAGAACAAAATAGGTTACAAGCACCCCACATTCCAAAATGAGGCGCTATACCACCTATTCAAGCCTTGCATAGGTGGCCCATGCCTGCTTTTACAACTCTTAGCTCCAAACCCATAGCTAGCATAAACACAACTGTGCTCATCAAGGGAGCTGCCAAGGAGGGTAATTTCCTGGAAGTGCCCATGACAGAAGAAAACAAAACCCAAGACACAGCTTTAAATCTCTACAAAGGAAACTGATGCAAAATGACATTGATGCCAACAAGTAGTATTTTCTTGTCCCCTATCCCTGTTTTCAATGCTACCAGACTAGGGGTGTGAGAATACATACAGTGACTATGCTCCCGTCCTCTCATTTCTCCAGGAAGGCTTACCAGGATGAGGGAAATGAGAAGCTGTAACTTTATAACAATTTCAACATATGACTATTACATGGGACTGGATATTTTAATCACTGATAGGTGGTTGTTCTTGGGACTAAAAGTGATAGAAGTCTTTCTTCTTATTTTCAACAGAAACTAGAAAAATTAATGGGACTGCTCAATATTATAACTGTACCTATAGTGATGATCTTGTTCGACATCATTGAATCATGTATTTAGAAGTCATGCTCAACCATATTCTAAAAAATACAACTACAGTTAAATAACACTACAAAACACAGTCAAGAAGGTATGTTAGTCCTGTTCTTCAACATCAAGAACACGAAGTATTCCACTAAAATTAAATACTATGCCATATAACTTCAAAACTGAGCGGGAGGCGGGGGGGGGGGGGGGGGGGGGGGCGGGGGGGGATAATTACCCAAAGCAGAGATTCCATTGGTTGAGGATGAAGCAATCCCATAATTCCATGGTACCAAGATAATCCTGCACCCATCATGAAAATACCAACACCACTAATTAGTGAAGCAATATAGCGCATATTTGAAAATCCATACCTGGAAAATAAAAATGGTAATATAGTTTATAAGAACTACAAATGGTTTCCTTTTAAAATATATTGTAATAAAAATGAAAAAATTATTAGAATATTAAGTTGTTATGATTTTATATTTAAGTAAAGTTTAAGTGCCAAACTCAAATAAATCAGAAAATAAACACGTAAAGTGGACAAAATTTAAAACTAATATTAAAAAATACATAAAAACAATGAATACGATTTAGTATAAGTATCTGCTAATTTCTTTTCCATATAGTCTGTTTTGATTTAGAACTTTACTATCATGTACCACAACAAATGCTGGTAAAGTTAATCTTTTTAAAAAAATGCAATCAGATGTTTATGAGCAGGATAACATTTAAATTTCCTTGTAATGCAGCTTCTAATTGGATTATTTTTGTCTTTTTGTACAGCCAATGGGTGATTTATATTACCCATATTTGGTGCTGAGAACTTGCTTCTGGTTCTACAATATATAGTTTAGCACAGAGCAACTGACTACTAGTATTAGGACTAAGAGCTTCAGTTTTCTCAATGTTTCTAAAGACAAATTTTAAAATTCAAATTATTTTTCCAAGCATCTTTGGTATTTATGTGCATTCTTTTCTATTTCTATATGTACCAATAAAGTACTGACCATTAAGTTAAATAATATGATATAGTATAAAAGGAAAACAATCACTCAATAATAAAAATATTTCCTAGGAAATTTACTCCCAAATCCAAATGCTATGCACCCTTTTGGCAGATGAAAATTTAAACTAGAATTCTTACTAAAAACCGATTTTTAAATTCTTTTTCTAAGTGTATAATCTTGACATAGGGAATTCTTAGTTTATAGATGTGATAATGTTCTACAAGCTTGATTTAAAAAATTTACTTGCTTCTAAAAGTTTCCCCCACCAAAATAATATTGGAGATAAATATAAAGTTAAAGTAAATGAAGACCTAAATTAAATAGCATTACTTTCATTACCTATTTTCAAGAAATCTGTAGGTTCTTATTGAAATTTTTAATTCAGTATATCTGCACTGTTCAAAATAAATCATTAGCCACATAAGGCTATTTAAGTAATGCTAAATAAAATTTTAAATGCAGTTCTTCAATTGCACTAGCCACATTTCAGGTGCTCCATAGCCACATGTAGCTAGTGACTATGATAATGAACAGATTTTGTAGAATATTCTACTGGGCAGCAATAACATAGGTTATTGAAAATATCTTAAGAAATTTTTATAACCTACAATTTAAAATTTTTAGCTTGTTTTAAAATTTTGGTGAACAAAGCTGTTAACTTAGCCAAATCGGCTAGGGCTATAGCTAAGATTTTAGAGTGGGTGGTCTATTAGTCTCAGTATGATATATATGTTTCCTTTGACCAAATAAAACAGAACTCTAAGATCAAAATACGAACTTTGTTTTAAATTATCAAATGTAAGAAGTATAAGGTCTCTATGCCATGTTATAAAGCATATAAATAGTTTAAACTTTATTTTCAAATTATATCTTAAATTTACTTTGACACAGTAGTGACTACACTTCAGTGGAAGAAATAACCAAATTTTTAATACAAACTGCAGGTACAGAAACAGCAGGCTTCTAAAATTAAGTTGCTTTTATTTCAATGACTTCCCACCAAAACAAACAAAAAAGATAAAGGCATTGTCCTTACGGATGACTAGGATCTGGTGTTTGAATAGACTTACTGATGCCCAGTGCCAGTAAACCCTATGGAGAAGAAGCAGAAAGATAAATAATCACTAGCAAATGAGGAATATAACATGGTAAAGCCAATCTGGAAGATGCAATCTGAAAATGACAAACACAAATACTAATGTTCAATAGCTAAGCTATCTGCTTTCTAATACTTACGCGAGAGAAATAAAAATGAACACAAAGGGGTTCAGAACACCATTGCTTATAAATTAAAAATCTGAAAGCAACCTCAAATCCATCACTGAGGAATGGCAAAATAAATAAAACCATAAATTACTTCTACAACAGTTAAAAGAATGGAGTTGGAATAGAGCTTTATGTACTGAATGCTAAAAGCTCCTACACATATCATTTGGGAGGGGGGGAAGCGAATTTAGAAATAGTATTTACAGTACAGAACCTAATGTTTTGTAGTTTTTTTTTTTAACTACATATAATATATAGCATAAGGAAAGGTCTAGAACAGGGATGGGAAAGTTCAGCCTATAAAATCAGTTGGTCTGGCCCTGCCAAGGCATTAGGGGTGAGTTAATTAAATGTTTGGCAAAATATAGCAGGCTAATTTTTAAGTTAATAATTTTGTGTAGCCTGCAAATGATGTTACAAATATTAAAATGGCCCTTGGCAGAAAAAAGGTTCCCCACCCCTGGTCTAGAAAAATTCATGTTTAACTATATATTTAAAAGGAGAAAAGCAGGATTAGTGGTGTCTGTAGTATCTTTTATTTATATATAAAGAATAACTAACTTGTTTAACTGTACAAATAAAAGGTTGTCAAATTTTAAAACAGTATATATTGTCTATGGACACATACATAACTAGTAAAACTGCAAAACCATGAACAGGAATTATACATATCAATTATACAGAGCAGTGATTATCAGGGATGTGGAAGGTGGAAATAAAGATGGAGGACTAATTATAAATAAGACTTTACTTCTTTACAAAAAAACAACACAAAAACCTAACGTAAATATGGTAAATATTAAGTTCATTGTTTTTTCTATAGTGTCTGCTATTAATTCTACACAGTTAATTTTCCCCATCAGACATATTTTTCAGCTCTAAAAGCTCCATTTTGTTCTTTATATCTTCCATTTCTCTTGTCAATATATTGTACATGTTTTCCTTTCAATACATGAATGTAGTTGTAATAGCTATTTAACATCCTTATTCGTCAATTGACTCTGTTTCTATTGACTGATTTTTCTCCTCATAAGTCAAATGTTCTGCTTCTTGGACGTCAAATTCTTTTTTTAAATTTTTTATTAAATGCTAAATACCAGGAATGTTATATTACTAAGTTTCTGGATTTTATTGTCTTAAGAGTGTGGGGGCTCTGTTCTGGCACGTAGTTAAGTTATAGCTCTGTTCCTTTAGCTCTGACTCTCTGTGGAATACTGCCTTGTAATTGCTAGCCGCCTCTGATAAATTTCTGCCTTCTCAGCTTAATGAGACTGTTATCTCCCACTATACTACATCATCCCACATGTGCCTCCAAACAAAAGCCAGAGATCATAGAGTTCAATTAATTTGTTTTCTTTCTCTCCAGGATGATGGTCTTGTCCAGGATCATGAACTATTGTCCAAAGTTTAAAAATATTGTTTCATATATTTTATGTATCAATAGTTTTATAGTTGTTAACAGAAAAAGACTAAATTCAGTTCCCATTAGTTCATCATGGCAGGAAGAAAAGGTTCTTTACATAATAGTTTACAATTTTATTTATTTATTTTCTTAATTTATCATGTTATCATTTCAGAACAGTATATAACTATAATTACCACATTTTTTAAACCCTTGAAGAGTCATTCAGAGTATGGACACTGAAAAACTATCTTCAATGTTTTAATAATAACATGTAAGAATGAAACTAATCATCTGTACATAACTTCTGGCCCATATGTACAAATATTTTTACATTTCAATTTTTTAAAGTCCAAGTAAGTTTTTAAAAAAATAGAGATTATATGATATGTATCTCTCCCCAACCACTCACCTCTCTCTCCACTCCACAACCGACTGGGAAAATATTATATTGATACAAGTTTTTAAATATTTACTGCACAAAAATTTAATTCAAGGGAAAGATTTCTAAGTACTGACAGAAAATTTTTTACTTCTTTCCTTACTTTTGCAAAAGCTTTTAATCCATTTGACAGTGAGTTAATCAAGTTCTTGGGTTTAATTTTTAGTTAAGATGGCTCTCCCTACTCCCTACCTATTATTTTTAACTTTGTCTTAAATATTCTTATTGAATATGCTGTCTTTTATTGTAAGTTCTCCCAAATTAATTCTTATTAACAGTGGTATAAATAAATGAATACTGAAAAGGCATTCTCTTAAAACAACACATTGTTTAAATGTGAAATAATAACACAAGTAGAAAATTTTGTTGTGTTCTTTAAAAAGGCTTAAATTTACAATTTTCAAAATTTGGGTTAAAGAAGGTACTTTAATTTTATAAAAATCTTTCTTCATTTGCAAATTCAGAAAAGGAATTCAAAGTGCAAGTCTAATATGAAATTTTAATTTATCAATCACATGGGACTAATTTACATAGTTGTTCAAAAAACTTAAATTTACTAGCTCTTAAACTCATTGACCATAAGAACCTATGTTCAGATATAAATTTCCACCTAAAGTAATAATCTGTTCTACAAAAACTTCTGCCCAAACACTTAGTGAATGATAATCTTACACTTCATATTCCATTGTTGGAAGTCCTTACACCTAAAAACCTGCTTTAAAATAGTATGCTCATATTTCTATGTATTTTATTGTTCAAAAGTAAAACAATTTTCTTTTTCTTCCATATGCCAACTACAAGACTTATTCAGTTTTTAAAACAGGCCAACTTTTAGATTAAATCAGTAAAAAAAAATACTTTTAAATTAGTAAGAGTAAAGCTTTTATCCCTCACCTGATTACAAGTATCAGATAAAGAATGTATAGCTTCGGAGAACATACTTGCTGAACCCGTATAAATCCAAGCAAGAAATTTAAAGAAGCAATTTAATCCATTGCTAGGAGAGAAAGAGAAAGCAATTTACCATTGGTTCAGACAAAAATTTTCACCTAAAGCTTATTTAATTGACCATATATACCTCTATACTAGATTGTGTCAAAGGAAATTAAAAAGAATCTCTAGCCTTCAAAAACTTACTATGTTTCTGGTAACAAGAGTACAAATCTCAAAAATACAGATTCGGTATTAAATATTCAAATGAAGAGGCATGACATGTGTAAGCAAATTAAGTGCATTTTAAGAACTGATAAGAGGATGTTCTACATTTGGACAAAACAAAATTAGAAAGGCGATTATGTGTCAAGTAGGTAAAAGATCTGCATCAATATTGTCCAGTAGAACAGTGTCAAAGGCAAGACTTTGGTGAAAGTCTGCTTACTTAAATAGATGAAGACAAATGTAAACCAAGCAGTCTGAGTCATTCTAGACCATAGATGTTAAAATAAATATGGTTAGCTCTGAGCAAGCCAGCTGCTCAGATTCCAACAGTAATGACTAGCATGACTTATCTGAGGCACTATACTAGTCATTTATCATTTTTATTATAATTCTATTATACAAATATTATCATCCTCATTTCATAAATGAGAAAACTGTATATCCCCTTCCTACACTTCAAATAATATCTTGAAAGAAGCGTATCTGCTCCTGTCTCTCCATTCTCTCCACTTTGTACAGTCTTCAGTGCACTAAATAATGGTTTCTGCTCCCAATACCTCCATTTCTTGCTATAAAGTTCTTAGAAACATTTTAGTATTTTTCTTAATCTCAGAGAAGCATCTGCTACTATTTTCTTCTTCTTTTATTTAATCTTCACGCCAGGATATGTTTTTCAACGAGTTTAGAGAGAGGAAGAGAGAGGGAGAGAGAGAAACACCTCCTGCATGTGCTTTCCCTCCCCCCAAAGGGGAATCAAACCCTCAACCTGGACTTGTGCCCTAATCAGGAATCAAACCCACCACGCTTCAGTGTATGGGACTGTGCTCCAACCAACAAGAGCCACACTGGCCTGGGTTGCCACTATTTTCTTAAATCACTGTCTTCCTTGGCTTCCATGAAGCTTTTGGTTTTCTTCCTACCTTGCTCCGTATTCTTCTTCAGCAGGCTCTTTATTCTACCTAAGCATTCATCTAGTTTTTCCTGAGGGCTTTTTCTTCCTGTCACTATACACATTCTTCTATGGCTTTAATTATTACCTATCCTACCTAATAAAAAAGTAATATGCAAATTAACCATCACGCTGTTATACTCACAAGCCATGCCCACCAGCCATGCAAATAAACCCAACCAAGATGGCTATAGCCACAGAGAGCTGGGTATATTCTGAGTTGCTGGCTCCATCCCCAGTAGGAATAATGCAGGAGATAGCTCATCTCTCTCTCCCTCTCCCTTACTCTCTGAAATCAGTAGGAAAAACAAGAACAACAAAAAGAATATTTACATAAAATAACATAAGTCTATTTTAAAAGCCGTATTTTTCAGTACTTACATGCAAATGGCAACCATCACCACCTTTCCTGGCCCCTTAAGAAAAACTGATGTCATTCTGGAACGTGGCTATAAAAAAAAAACACAATGTTTTAAAAATCTCAAAAATTTCTAGAAGCATTTTAATGCTTATAAGTGATTCTGACACACCAGAAAATATCTCCTCTATCAATACCTCTAAACAACTAAGTTTACTTATTTGTTTCTCCATAATTTCCTCTATAAAAAGTGGGAAAATGGAAATCTAAAGGACATCTAGGTCCTATTCCAGAATCTTAATTATTCATTTTGTTTCCTTGTAACCGATTTCCTGCCTTCTTCCAGAAAGGACTCTGGCCAATGTGGCTCAGTTTGTTGAGCATCTACCTATGAACCAGGAGGTCACAGTTTGGTTTCAGGTCAGGGCAAATGCCCCGGTTGTGGGCAAGATCTCCATAGGGGACATGCAGGAAGTAGCTGATCAGTGATTTCCATCATTAATGCTTCCTTCTCTCTCTGAAATCAATAAAAAAATATTTTTAAAAAACAAAATTAAAAGTGGCTATCAGAGAGCTTAATCTTGCTAAAACCTGAGAAAATAGTTTTCTCTCTTACCTATATGTTAGGCTTACAACACAGTCTGGAATTTAAAGAGAACTTATGTCCCGATTTTTAAAATTTCAATAAAGCAGACAAGAGCAAAAATAGATTGTAAATTACAATGTACTCAAGAAAATCTTGAATTAGGCTGGCACAGGACTAGTACGTGCTAGTATTTCACAATGAACTAACACTAGAATTTCACTGTGCAACACCTACAATACATATCATTATCAGAAAGATATCCTTACCTTGGTATTTCCAAGGAAGTCGCTATATTCTCTTAATATGCTTTGGTTTCTAAATAACCCTATAAGAAAAGAATTACAAAACACATTTAGCTCATATATATTCTTATCAATCACATTTTAGATTAACACAAGTATTCTCTTTACGACTACTGTTACATATGCTCCATTAGCTACCAGCAAAAACATCAGGTTATTATAAAAAAAAAAATCTGGATTTGCAACCCAATTAAAAAATGTGCAGCCGAAATTGGTTTGGCTCAGTAGATAGAGCATCAGCCTGTGGACTGAAGGGTCCCAGGTTCGATTCCGGTCAAGGGCATGTACCTTGGTTGCAGGCACATCCCCAGTAGGGGGTGTGCAAGAGGCAGCTGATCGATGATTCTCTCTCATTGATATTTCTAACTCTCTATCCTTCTCTCTTCCTCTCTGTAAAAAATCAATAATATATATATATTTTTAAATGTGCAAAGGATTTGAAGACTTTTCCATAGATAATATGCAAATGGCCAAGAAGCACATAAAAAGATGCTCATATCATTAGTCATCAGATAAATGCAAATCAAAACCACAATGAAGTATCACCTCACACCCTTCAGAATGCTAATATCCTTAAAAAATAAAAACATAAAATAACACATTGGCGAAGATGTGGAGAAACTGAAAACCTTATGTACATAAGGCAACCCCTCGCCCCACCACCACCAGCAAAAATACTGTGTGGTTTGGAAATGAACCTGCAATAGCTTTAAACTGAATATACTTACTTTCTCTGTATTCTCTTTCCGCTTTTATACGCAGTTTTCTCTCCCTGGCAAGAGCTTCAGGGCTTCCCCAGACTTCCAAAGATCTATGCATGAACACATGACCAACAATGAACAATTTTAATGACTTTATTGTAATTATCTTTAAATCTAGATGAACCATCTGAATAACTATATGAGGATCTTATAGCAATACATAAGGTCCTTAAAAATATATATAAAGCACTTAATAAACTTTTCTAAACTACATCTAAACAAAACAGTAAAGTCAGGAAATTTTCTGATAAATTAGGACATATTTTTAGTTAAGTAGTATATAACAGTAATTCCCCCCAAAATTTACAAATGTAAAAATAATCTACCTTTAAAAAAATAAAATATATTCTTTTAAAAATTTTGAATCTAAGTTATGTTTTTATTAGTCCCAATTTCAGCTTGTACTTTTATTCTAAAAGAACTATATTCTTACTTTGCCTCCACATCTGATCTCAAGTATACAGTAAAGGATTCAGTATCTTCATGGGGACTTCGTTGTCTGATTTTTCGAAGTTGTTCCAGATCACTAAAGAAAGAAATATGTTAAATTTATTCAGACAATCTTCATAGAGTTTATGTACTTAAAGAAATTATTAGGAACAGATAAAAACCACCACATTGATTCTCATCTTAAAAGACTATAATCGGCATAGCACTTAAAGATCAGTTTATACAGATTGCACTTTGCACACAAAAACTGGTTTAGAGGCAGTGAAGAAACAATTATTCTTGCCCTGGCTGGGTAACTCGGCTGGAGCGTCATTCTGTGCACCAAAAAGTTTCAGGCTTAATTCTCGGCCAGGGCACATACCTAGGTTGTGGGTTTGATCTCCAGTAGGGGCACAATCAGGAGGCAACCAATTGATGTGTCCCTCCCTCCCTCCCTTCCTTTTCTACCCCCTCCAGTAAACACATCCTTGGGTATGGAAGGAAGGGAGGGGGGAGGGGAAGGAGGGAGAAAGAAAGGGAAATATTACTGTTGTTCAATACAGATACTGTAACAAAACATGTATAGACTAAGTTCCTTCCTAAGTGCTTATATTTTATCTGCTATGTTCGCAACTGTAATGCCTCATGCATCATAAAAAAATGCAAAAAGTAGAAAGAACATGGATTAGAATATCATCCCTCTATTTGAGAATTTAAAATTTACAACCCTATTTGTTTACATCCAGATTAATACTAAGTGTTAGTAGCATTCAAAGTTATCAAGCCAAAAAGGTTTAATGCAATTCCATGCTATTTATAATTGTCCCTTCTCTTATATTCTAGAAAGATTATATATTCATCAAGTCACAACTAAATAGTCATTCTGTATTTGATCATTTGTGTTCCTTAGAAAATTCTGTAATGGTAATGAAAAGACCTATCAATTAAAATGTGGTAATGATGGACTATTACTAAGTTATAGAAATTAAACCTGGAGTTTAAAAGTATCAACAACCAACTATCACACATAGGTAAGACAGTTTGGACCAGCTACCAAAAGATTATTCTAGTTTCCTCTCTGTCACTGACTCACTAAATAAGCTGGATCATCAGTAACATCCTTATTATGTCTTCTGGCCTATAAATGTAGAGACAGCAATATTTAACCTACTTAATTCCCAAAATTTTTGTGAGAACTAAATGAAATACTCTACATGAAACATAATATATTTTATAACAATGTTATAATTGATTGTTAGTTTATTATTTATGTAAGTTATAAAGCAGATTGTTGAATTCCTTAATTCTTGATACTAAAAGAGGGGGGGGGAAATAGATCACATCTGATATCTCTAAAAAACCAAGAAAATTTCCATATAAATATGACTTTTCTAGGTAAACACATAAAGGGAGGGAAAATTTAGAAATATGTGACGAGTATAATATCCATAAATCTCTATGACGACAAGAAAATTAGTAAATAATCTTATCTTTTTAATAATTCTGACCTATGTGAACATAATAAAATTTCTATGAACTTGTGTGACATAGATTTTAAATAACTCGCCTTTTTGAATTTAAGATGCCTAGAAAGAATGAAATTGCTTATGCTGGAGCAGAATTCAATGTTGCAAACAAATAATTTTAACATTTTTTAACTAAACATATTTCTTTAATTTAGGAAGAAGCTATGGGAAACTTCCACATGAACAGAAGATAGCAGGAAACACATTCTAAGAAATAAATGGTTATATACATTAGATAGATAAAACTACCCTTTAAAAAAATAACTGTACCTGGCTTTAAGGCAGAACTCATTTATTGCTCTCACTCCAGTGATGAAATTATTCTGAGTATACTTTGGTCCATACTCCCTCTTCTTAAGGACTGCTTTGACTAAAACCCAAAAAAATAGGAAAACAAAAGTTTACACAACAAAAGTCATACTGAGGCTTTACTAATGAATTCCATAAAATATCAATCTTTTTCCTGATGCACTGAATGACATCAGAAAAAAGTTCTCCAAGTGCAGAATAGAATGGAATATTTGTAGCCACCTAGCTTTTATTTCCATAGTTCACCTGTAACTGATGCCAAAATGCCAACCCTTTGTCTAATGGACACCTTGTATATATCACTTGTTGGTTTAAATTGTACTAACAAATTTAAATTGCTTAAGTCCTAAATGAAAATGAATTTCAGCTTCAGTTAAAAATTACAGGCTAGTTCAGTGTTTTGAAAACTGTGGAGTAAAATCAGCATTTTATAAAAAGTGAAAATAAGAAGTAATCAGAGTACTGCATAAAATTAAGAACAAATATTTTTTTGTGAACACTTTTGTTACAGTTAAATAATTTCTATCTGTTTGAAAGCCACTGGACTTTTTCACATAATGCAACAAAGCTGAGTAAACAAAAGGAACATTTTTATCAGTTAAAAACTATAGGAAGTTTATTACAGATTTTAAGTAAAATACTATCTTCTATTAAATTATCTACTACAAGGATCAAATGTTCATAAAAAAGCCAGATACATCAATACCATTTGATCTGTGTTTGTAAGTCATATTATAAAGTTGACTTATGGTCACGACATAAATAACATAAGCAAATATCTGAAAATCAAGAGAAAAACAACAGAAGAAACTTGTATTGTTCTGTTACAAATTGTCACCTAGTCACTTCACATTCTAGTCTTATATCTATTAATTCATAAATTTTCTGTTCTACTTTCAAGTTCAAAGAGCAAATTTAGACTAAAACTATTTAACACTGCAATAGGTAAAAAGACTCTTAACACATAACTATTAAAATAAAATGTATAAAAAATACTTAAGAACATTTCAAAAATAAAGTTCAATATAAAAATCAAAACCTTATTTGGAAAAAAAAGCTATACATAAAAAAGTTCAAGTTTCTTTTTACATGAGTTCAAGTCTCTGAACTGCCTTTCTCTAATAACCTTCAAACTCAAAATCCAAGTGAAGTCCTCTGAAGCAGAGGGGGTAATTACATCTCTCTTTTAAAAGATTAGTTGTTGTTTTTTTAATTACTTTTGTAAAATTTGTTCAAAGTAGCTAGAAATCCCTGTTGGCCTGTCCTGGCCCAGATTACTAATGATAATGACTGCTATCATAATATTAATTATTCTTAATTATGACTGCACACTACTACTATATATCATCTTCAAAATTATCCTACAAAAGAAATTCCATTTTTAGCACCATATTACAGAGGAGAAAACTATGGCTTAGGGAAGTCAGGTCCACTGCCCAAAGCCATACAGTTGGTACATGCTGGGGCCACAAACGGAATCCAGTTTTGTCTGACTCCAAAGCCACAGTGCTCATCACAGAGTTACTGCCTCAGTGAAACATGCTGATTTGGAAATGGGAGTCATAGCTCATTATAATATAAAGAACAGCTGCAATTATTCCTAGAAAAGAGAGTCAGACAAGAATGTCCAATCTCTACCTGGATTTGAAAAAGTTGAAGCTGAAAGGTGTTGACCTCGTTTTGTTCTTTAATCACATTACTTTTCTAAAATGATAAAGTAATTGATAATTTTTATTTGCCATAACTCTTTTCCTTGGGCTTTTGAAAAAAACAATTACCACAAAATTTGTGACCAAAATGCAAAGTAAACTTCAGTAGATAGTTAGCTTACAAATCAGATATTAAATCCTAAGGTCAATAACCTTAACCCTATCCCTTATTTATATAATATAACAGAGGCCCGGTGCACAAAATTCACGCACAGGTAGAGTCTTTAGGCCTGACCGGCAATCAGGGCTGATCAGGGCCTTCCAGCTGCTGACCAGGGCTTCCCTTTCCCAGCTGTGGCTGGGGCCTCCCTTCATTCTGCGCCACCCCCCTGGTGGTCAGTGCACATCATAGTGAGCAAGCAAACGCCCAATATCTCGGTCGAACTGAGAGGACAAATTAGCCATACACACACACACACACACACACACACACACACACACACACACGTGTTTGTGTGTGTGTGTGTGTGTGTGTGTGTGTGTGTGTGTGAGAGAGAGAGAGAGAGAGAGAGAGAGAGAGAGAGAGAGAGAGAGAGAGAGAGAGAGATAAAAGCCTAAGCAACCTTTCAACCAGTAGCTTTACGCACACTGACCACCAGGGGGCAGATGCTCAACGCTTAGAAACATGGAACAGACTGATGAATCTCCGAGGGAAGGAAGTGGGGAGGATGGGAAGAGATTAACCGAAGACCTTATATGTATTCCTGAGGCCCTGTGCACAGTTTCATGCACTAGTAGGGTCCCTCAGCCTGGCCTTCAGGCATTGAGCCGATACTGGCGATCTGACATCCCCTGAGGGGTCCTGAATTGCAAGAGGGTACAGGCCAGGCCGAGGGACCCCACCGGTGCACCAGGCCTCTAGTGATAATGTAACTATAAAGACCTCTATATAAATTAATTTTATATATTTAATTCAAAACATCATCACAAAAAATAGGATAAAAATATATTTACCTCTTACTTGGAGAGGTTCTTGCTTAGTAAGTGGACCTTTGAGTTCTGCTGTAAAGTTTCAAAAAATTTACATTAAGCAGTGGCTTGCATACAAACCTATAAACTCATGAGTTAACAATCTGGCAATGTGTTAAAAAGATAATAAATATAACACAGACAAGCTGGATTTATCCTAAGAATGTTAGGAGTAGTTAAACATTAACAGATTAAAAGAGAAAAACTATAAAATCATTTCAGGAGGTAAAGAAAAGCATTTAATAAAATTCAACACTCATGCAAGTTTCAAATCCTTTTTGAAACTTAGGACAAAAAGAAATTTCCTTAAAGGGTAAAACAAACCTAAACATTGTATTCAATAAAAGAAGCATTGCTTTAAAATAAGGAACAACACAAGGACAGACACTCTGATGAATCTTCTACTTAAAACTGTCTGGGGAATATTATTCAAAGAAGAATGAAGTAGTTACTGAAACTACTGTATAATCCCATTCCCCGCCCCCCCCCCCCCAAAAAAAAGGAAGTTGGAATCCACCTCACATTTGTTTTGTTAAACATTTACATGTCTAACAAAACAATATAGCCTATTTTTATGTTAGAGTTAGATTTCTTAACAAGATATAAACAATACAAGGAAAAATGGACAAATTCTGCTAAATTAAAATTCAGGACATCTAAAAAAATAAATTTAAAAAAATTCAGAATATCTGCTCATCAAAAGATCCCATTTATAAAAGAAAGAAAAGTCTCAGACTGAGAAGATATTTCCAACAATTCAAATCAACAAAGAATAAGTATCAAGAATATTTAAGAATTCCTCCAGATCAATAAAACACAACTCACTAGAAAAAAAAAAATGCAGAACAAAATTGCACAGAAAAGCATTTATATATTGCAATATGATCCTTCCTATATTTTTTAATTTTGAAATTTGCAATGTTATTCTGAATAGGCTATATCCTTTCTCTCTCCTCCTCATGCTCCAAGTCTCAAAACTCATGTCTGTTCTGAACCAGATCTCAGTCTGGCAGTTAGAATTCCTACCACTCAATCAAGTCTCCAAACCAGCAAATGGCAGGTTTCAGTTCCCTGTTCCCTCTTACCACCCTGCCCTACTACTGCCTCCTGCAAGACACAGCTCAGGTAACAGGTGGAAGAGACTATTTTCAGCCTCCTGCATAAGGGTAGGTGCAAAAGTTCAAACAGTCAGTCTGCCTCCAGTACCTCACTATGAATGTAGCACCTGCAAATCCATTACCCCAAACAAGCCAAACTCCTGGCTGCAAGTGCCTACTTACTGCCCCAGAGTCTGGCATTTTCTGTTCCATTTCTTGACATAAGTATGTCTTTTTTTTTGTCTTTTTTTTTTTTAAACGCAGCTGTTCTTTTTACATTTTATCTATGACTCCAATGAATGAGAAGTGAAACAGGTACTAAAGCATCTGTTTACAATGCCATCTTGATCAGAATTTCTGATTTATCTTTTTTCAGGGCTTTTATGGATAAACTAGAGGCTTGGTGCATGAAATCCATGCATGAGGGGGGTCCTCTGAGCCCAGCCCATATACTCTCTCGAATCCAGGACTCTGAAGATCAGGCCTAAACCAGTAGTCTGACATCCCTCTCATAACCCTGGACTGCTGGCTCCTAATTGCTCACCTGCCTGCTGTCCTGATGGCCCCTCACTGCCCCCTCCCCCACACTGGCCTGGTCGTCCCTTACTGCTACCCCTTCCAGCGTGGTTGCCCCCAACTTCCCTCCCTTCCGGCCTGGTCACCCCTAACTGCCCTCTGCTACTGGCCAGTTCCACCCTAACTGCCTTCCCGCCGGCCTGATCTCCTCTTACTACTGCCCCCTCTGCCAGCCTGGTCGCCCTCAACTGACCCCCTGGCAGCCTGGTTGCCCCTAATTGCTCAGGGCTCAGTCGTATGGTCATCCCTTACTGTGCCCCTGCCAGCCTGGTCACTCCACAGCTTCCTGCTCAGTCTTCCATTCAATTGTTTAGGTTGTGATGGCCCCTGGCTTTTTATATATTAGGATTAAATGTCTATAGACCAAACACTAACAAAGGTAAAAACTCCCTTTGAAATAAAAGCAAAAAATATTTTATGTATTGTAACTTTCAGTATATGTCTTATTTTTCAGTGAACGTCATTGATCAAATGACTTAACATAGTATATTTATTATGTTTTGATAACCAAAATATTTACAGAAAATTCCAAAACGCTTTTAAAAAATATATTTTTATTGATTTCAGAGAGAAGGAAGAGAGAAAGAGAGATACAAACATCAATGATGAGAGAGAATCATTAATCGGCTGCCTTCTGCACACCCCATACTTGGGATTGAGCCTACAACCTGAGCATGTGCCCTTGACCAGAAGCAAACCTGGGATCCTTCAGTCCACAAGCCAATGCTCTAACCTAGGGGTGTCGAACTCAATCAGAGAAGGGGCCAAAATCTAAAATCCAGCCTAAATCGCGGGCCGAATGTTTTGTTTTAAACTCAAGTCCTGGCTGTCTGCCACACATCTGCTGTCATTAGCAAAATAGTCATAAACTGTCACTGTGATGGAAACGCAGCGGAGTCCAGTGATGACAGCGCGGGTGCGGGACACATTGCAAGGCCTGGCGGGACGGATTTGGCCCGCGGGCCTTGTGTTTGACACATGTGCTCTAACCACTGAGAAACACCAACTTACTAGGGCATCCAAAAGTCTTTAAAAAAAAAAAAAAGAAAAACCACAAAACACTTCTATTTAATAATTATAGTCTATAACATCTGACATTTAATGGTTAAATGATTATTATGACTTGATTATTATCTACTTTTGCAACAAGCAAATTCTAAAGCATCTTTATAGATTCTATATATCAATTTCTTAAATGTTTGCCTTGGTGAACAAAGAATAGGGCAGAGAAAAGTGAATGGGGTGGTGGAATAATGAGCTTCCTACACTCACCTAATATCTGAACTGAAATCTACTGTCAAACATTCCAATAGCCCTCCTTTCCACAACAATCAAAGTCACTGAACTAAACAAGAAAATGAGGTCCTCTAAGAATTTCTGGATATTATTCTCACTACTAGTGTCATTAATTATGTAGAGTTAAAAATTACAAACGAGAAATGCTAACAAATGGCTCAAAAATAGATACTGATACCTATTTTTGCACATTGCTATCTTAACAAACTTACATGTATCACTGGAGTAGAATCTTTATGATTTTATAAGTATCCAGACATTTTATGCATGAATATCTCTAGACATTTTGTTTTAAACTCAAGTCCTGGTTGTCTGCCACACATCTGCTGTCATTAGCAAAATTAAAACTAATTTTACTAAAATTTAAAACATCTGAATGCTCCTTAAAAACTTAAGGATTCCTTAGCAAATCCCTGCCTCTTAATAAACTGCCTGACTGTATCAAGCGATTTGAATTATTCAAGTCAATTTCAAACTCTTAAATATACAAATTATCTTTCAATCAAGAAATTACTTGCTGTCTACCTGATGGCTAAAAAGATCTAATCTGGCCTGAGCTAATTCTGAAACATTGAGCCCAAAATAAATCCATCACAAACAATATATTTATAATATAAGAAAATAAACTAACATTTTTATTCCAATCAGCATAGAAGAAACTACTCATAGATTTTAATTTCAAGAATTGTGTATAGTGGGACCAACATTAAGTATTTTTTTCCTGAGTCTAAGTTCCACTCAGAAGAACATTATAACATAATCTACCTTTAGTTATATTATTTTATCCCATGTTTCTTCTCTCATCTGATGATCTAATAAATAGGTTTTCTGGTACTTGTACACTCTCTATTCCTTCATTCTTTAATATCAAAATTCTCAATCAATATTTACCCCAGCAGTTTTCCATCACCACAGAAAAAGAAATGACTAAAATTGCATAGTAAGAGTAGAAACCAAGATGGTGGCATAGGTAAACACCTGAAATTGCTGTCTTGCACAACCACTTCAAAACTACAAGTAAAAGACAAAACAACATCATCCAGAACTACAGGAAGGCTAGCTGAGTGGAAATTCTACAACTAGAAAAAAAGAGAAAAGTACACTGAGACTCAGAGGAGGTGTGGAAGTAAAGTGCAGAGGTATGGAGGCACGCTAGTGGAAAGAGCTGGCAACTGAGGATGTGGTTGTCTTTTTCAATTGGGAGGGAGAAAGAAGCTCCTGACTGCTCTGAACGCCAGTTCTAGGCAAGACTCTGGGGACCCAGCTCATACAGGGAGAAACTGGACTGTCTGGCTTCAGGCAGAACTTGAGGGTGCCTTTCTCTCAGAGGTGCTTGCAGAGATTACCAAGGGACACTGAGGCCTGGGAGCCTCTTAGTGCAGGGCTGAGGATCGGCCATAGCTGTTTGCTCCACCCTGTTGATTCCCTGGGGACCCCACCCCATCCAATTTACAACCCCATCCCAGCTGTGTGCAGAAGCTTTTGCATGTGAATGGCCTGGCCCTTTGCAATCTAAAATTACCTACAAACTGCAGCTGAGTCAGAGCCCCTGACCTTCCAAAAGAAGGCCCAAGGCCCCACAGCAGCTTGCATTGCTTCACAGCTGGGCCTCAGCTGGGCACCTCCAAACCCCAAACAAAGAAGAGGAATCTGTAGATCTCTCTGTAGCTCCTGCTGGGTGGCCTCAGGCAAAAGCTAAATTAGCACCTCCTCAGAGATCCAAGAGCCAGTGTACCCAGTGGTCAGAATGGGACCATTAAGATTACAACTCCTCAAATCCATAAGGGGCACACTCAAGAGGCAGACTCAGTGAGCACCAAAGCCCGACTGAGTCTTGCCTCATAAGGGTGTTTCCAGCACAGAAGTTCTCCCTTTGAAGACACAGCTGATCCTCGCAGTCAATTGGCCTGCAAGTCAATTCCTCCCAGTGATACCAACGACAATTAAGGCTTAACTACAATCTAAAACTCAAGTGAATAAAAAATCTGATGAACAGAATGAACTGATGAATATAATAGAATCAGGGGCATGGAAAGAGAATGGACTGACAATTCTTGGGGGGTGGGAAGAGACTGGACAAAAATCGTACACCTATGGATGAGGACAGTGGGGGGTGGGGGGGGATGGTTAGGGCAGAGGGTGGGATGGGAACCGGGTGGAGGGGAGCAATGGGGGGGGTGAAAGAGGAACAACTGTAATAATCTGAACAATAAGGATTTATTAAAAAAGAAGAAATAAGGAAAAAATACTTCATTAAAAATGAAAAATCTAAAAATAAAAATAAAATAAAATTGCACAGTAAGCCCAAAGGCAGTGTGAGCCGAAGGGAAAAAAATACATTATTATTATACATGAATACATGTTTCTCAAAGAATCTGTAAAACCTTCCCTGGTGAAAGACATTCAAAAGGGAAAGATGGCCTTGAAAGGTTTATTCTTCAGACATTCTTTTCTCCTGACACTGTACTCTCCTCGGATTTTCTCCTACCTCTCCGGGCCGCTCCTCCTAAAGCATTCTTTGCAACCTCCTCTTCTTCCATTTGTCTCTACTCATTGGGGTTTTGTACTAAGAGATTTTATCTCTTCATTTCAAACACTCCCTGCACTATCTCAAACATACCTATGACTCAGTCACCACCTAGATATAGCTAACATCTTCTAAATCTGTATCTCCATGCTAGAATTCTACACATTCATTTATTTACAAATATTTATTACACTCCTACTATGTGCAAACCACTGCTCTAGGCTCTAGGTTCCTGCTGTCATTGGGCTTGCAAACAAGTGGAAAGTGAGAAGTAAATAAATAATGAAAATACCAGTCAGTAATAATTTACAATTTAAAAGAGAATTAAAATTAAGATAATATTAAAGACTGGTTGGGTGGCTGCTTTAGACTGAGTGGTTAAAGAATGATGTGCAGAGATGCTGTTTCAACTAGAATGTAATGACCAGCAGAGGTCAGCCATGTGAAATATACCTTGGAAAGAGAAAGCAACTACAGCAAAGGCCCTATAAATGAAAAAAGCTTGGTTTTCTAAGAACCAGAAGGAGATGGTTTGGCTGACACATAATGAGCAAGTAAGAGTGGAAGCAGGGAGCCCAGGGAAATGGTTATTGCAGTTATCCGGTCAAGAGATGGTGTCTCACAGTGGACTAGTACAGGTACAGCTAGTTTTATTGTGCTTTGCTTTATTGCACTTCACAGATAATGAGTTCTCATTAACATGAACAAAAAGATTTTAAGTCACTGCAGGCTTGGATGATGCTTAACATTTTTTAGCAATGAAGTATTTTTTAATTAAGGTGCAGACCTTTTTAGGCATAATACCATTGTACACTTAATAGACTACATATAGTGTACACAAATCTTTTATATGCACTGGGAAACCAATAAGTTTATAACTCACTTTACTGTAATATTTGCTTTATTGCAGTGGTTTGGACTGACCCCACAATATCTCTGAGGACTGTCTATAGTATACCCAACTGCCTACTAGATATCTGTTAAGATGTCTCAAGGGCACCTGCAATTTAGATGTCCAAAATTAAATCATCTTCTCAAAATATACTCCATCTAGCTTTGGTATTGCTAATTTTAGAAACTAATGAAATCACTACACAATTGCCCAATGCAGTAACCAGGCACTGACCTTTACTTGACCCCTTCCTTCATTCCCCAAAATTCAATCACCAAGCCCCAATTATTCAACTCCTAAATCTCCTGAGTTTATCTACTCCTTTAAAAGAATCATTGTATTAGCCTGGTCTAGACCCTTATTTGTATTACTGCCTCCTTTGCAATCTGTTTTCCAGTCTGCAACTAGTTATCATTCTAAAACTTTAAATCTGGTCAAGTATTTCCTCTACTAAAAATACACCAGCCCTAACTGGCTTGGCTCAATGAACAGAGCATCGGGCCTGCAGACTGAAAGGTCCCAGGTATGATTCCAGTCAAGGGCATGTACCTTGGTTGCGTGCACATCCCCAGTGGGAGGTATGCAGGAGGCGGCTGATCTCATTGATGTTTCTAACTTTCTCTCTCTCCCCCTTCCTCTCTGTAAAAAAATCAATAAAATATATATATTTTCAAAATACACCAATATTTTGAGTCCTATTGCCTACAAAGTCCAAACTCCAGAACAAAACCCTGATCTGATTACTCTGTTTACCTGTTGAGTTTCATCCCTTGGACTTTTCAAAACTACCAACCCAACACCAGGATCCTCTACTCACAACTCCAATCACACTATGTTACTTGTACTTGTTACCTTCTTTTCCACCACTCATCACACCAATACCTAATTAGATATCCTTCAGTTCCCCAATTAGGTATCATTTCCTTTGGAAACCTTATCTAACCACTTGAACTCAGGGCCCTTCCCAATATGTTCCTGCAGCTCACAGTATTTCCCCTATCAAAGGACTTACTATACAGTATTATATTTCTTTGCTTAAATTTCTGTTTTAGCAATAGACTATAAACTCAAAGAGTGGTTCTCACTTGCTGCCATATGAAAAGTACTCAATAAAAACTTCTTGAATAAAATAACAAATACGTGAATATAAGGCTTCTTTTTAATGCTGCACAGCAAATTAGACAGCCTGAACAAAATCTTTTCAAATGCATTGCTAAAGTAGCAAAAAGTTTTCTTAAGAGGGCAAAGCGAAGGAAAAACTGGGTCTCTAGAGAGCAAGTGAGCACACCAAAGCCAGTTTTTGCCTTAGTGATTCCTGTTGAACTTATACTTTTTGAGCTTCTTCAGAACTTCATGGCCACAAGGGGCATGCGAGACCAGAGAAGACGACTATTTTTGCTCAAGATGGAGACACTCAGAAAAAAGTGTCTGCTAACAGAAAACACTCGGGGGAAAAAGCCACACACCTATAACTGTGAACTAAAAATAATACACACAGAAGGGAACAACGGGAAGCATGTCTGCCTTTACTTTCCTGTTACACAGCCAGGGAAAACTCCCCTGAAAACCCTAACAATAAACCAGCCCTCATGCAAATCTGCACTCAGAATCCATGCTACCAATGTGGTCTAAAAATGTAAAGCAGAGAATTTAATATGGTCCCAAGTTGAATTCTCAGTAGCTAAAAGGCAAATCAAACTCTCAATACAGGACCACATCTTCAATCCAGAGACATCAAATAATTCCAAGATATAGGACTGCACAGAAAATGAACAACTCCTGGTTAAAAAACACAAAAATGGTATGAGTGAAAGCAAGAAACAGAGAAAAAAAGATAATATAATAGGAACCAAAAGATTTCAGATAGTATAATTTTCTGTCGGAATATATAATAGTTATGTTTAATGTGGCTAAGTAAGAAAAGTCTGAAAATATAAGCAAGAAACATGAGATGAACCAAGCAAGATAAAAAAACACTTTCTAAAAATGAAAAATATAATAATTAAAAGCCCATCATATGTATTAATTAACAGAATAGAGGTAACTTAAGAGGTAATTAGTGAATTAAGCAGACATAAAAAAATAATCCAGAATAGAAATATAAAAATGACAAAAATAAAAATAGAAAATTCAGAATAGAAAATATGGCAGACTTAGAGACATGGAAAATAAAGCAAGATGTAACATATTTCTAATGAGAGTTCCAAAAGGAGGTAAGAGAAAAGGAAAGAGACAACATTTGAAGGGACAGTGACAGAGAATTATAGAATTCCAGAACTGTATAAAAACATCAGTAAGATTTTTTTTTTTTAATATATTTTATTGATTTTTTACAGAGGAAGGGAGAGAGCTAGAGAGCTAGAAATGTAGATGAGAGAGAAAAATCGACCAGCTGCCTCTTGCACACTCCCCACTGGGGATGTGCCCGCAACCAATGTACATGCCCTTGACTGGAATCGAGCCTGGGACCTTTCAGTCCGCAGACCAATGCTCTACCACTGAGCCAAACTGGTTTCAGCAGTAAGATTTTTTTTATAGTTAAGTTCTATCAAATATTCAAGAAACAAATATTCTCAAACAAACCATTCCAGTATATAGAATGACTTTAAAAGATTTATACATACCTGCTTCATCAAATGTTGGTATTTTTTCCACTTGGGGAGTTTTTGATCCCTGCCCTTCTTTCTGAACATTCGTAGAGTACAACTTTACTTGACTCAGTGTACAAAAGTATGAGTGACTACAGGGAACCACGTTTGAAAAGCTTCCAAATGTCACCAAATTCTGCCATTCTAAAGGAAAAAAAAAAAAAATTTAATTTCAAACAAACACAAGAATTTTTATACCCAATAAAACATGCCTACTATAATTAAAAGAACAGTTTTATAGAAAAACAGTAAAACTTTCATATTCAAGATACCCAAATGTACAGTGCCAAATCACTCTCTCCACTGGAGGTGTTTCACTGACAACTAGATATGCAGGCATATAATTTTGTAAAGAAAAAAGTAAAGGATAATACTCCCATTTTTCTCTCATTTGTAAACTTAACTACATGGAAACCTTTAAAATATATTTTAAAAATTCATATTATTCAGCTATACTGAAATACTCATTTTATATGTTAGTTACATGTAAAAAAAAAAAAAAAAAAGGCATGTACTTTTCAAGATATAGAAATCTTGAGGTCAGGAGGGTTTCCTACTTAAAATGCCCATATACCAAACTACTCAAAATTAGTGTTCCTTTCTACTAGCTGCATATTTATCCCTTTCATTTCATAATCAATGAGTGAGTTATGGGGATTTTAATTGAGGGAATAGAATATTAATTATGAAGCACTTCAGCAGCTGCATCTGGGTTGGTTATGAGCTTTAGAAGGCTGAAATACAGAAGGAACAAAGATTCCACACTTGCCCTGAAGTGGTAGAAAGCAAATCTGTCTATCTCTAGGCTCATGTGACCCTTCTCGTTTATTTATACGACTACTTAAAATTCTTCCTAAAAGAATTCAAACCCTGTCTAGTTATAACATGCCCGAAGCCAATACCAGCATGTCATAACTTCAAGAGTTTCATCAAAAGGTTGATGGAACTTGAGGACTTAACAAGGGCTGAGTCAAATATGTTATCATCTGTTTGGAATGGCTAACGGCATTTCCCCAAACCTGAAAAGGGATACATAAATTGTTTGCTGCCAGACACCTCACAGCATCTTAATCTGCATGTTATTGCCTCCTGTTGACCAAACACCTGAACAGCCGCAGGCAATTTCCCAGTCTGACAATGGACTCTGTAGTAGACTAACCCTGACTTTTTTTTTTTTTTTAAGTTTCTTTTTATTTATTTATTTATTTATTTATTTTATTTTATTTTTTTTTACAGAGATGAGGAGAGAGGGATAGAGAGCTAGAAACGTCGGTGAGAGAGAAACATTGACCAGCTGCCTCTTGCACACCCCCTTCCAAAAATGAGCCCGCAACCAATGTACATGCCCTTGACCAGAATCGAACCTGGGATCTTTCAGTCCGCAGACCTACGCTCTATCACTGAGCCAAACCAGTTTTGGCTAACCCTGATTTTTGATGTGTATATATCCACCTTGCCTTAGGACAAATTGTTTTAATAAAAAGCAAGGGGTCCTGAGACAAGGAGAATTTGGTTTCTTCAGCCAAGTTCCTCTGCTCCCGCCCCCTAAATGCCTTTCAAAATTACATTTCTTTGCTGGACTCTTTATTAATTTATGCAGAGCCCCTTCTCCTGATTCCAGAACCCTTCTACATGCCAGATCAAGACCCACTGGCGATAAATGGTGCCCAATGTCCAGCAATAACATATATAAGATGTCCCTAGAAAATGTATACACACACTTTAAATACCTTTTGTTAATCCTCACGCGAGGATATTTGTTCCATGATTTTTAGGGTGAGTAGCAGAGAAGGAAAGACAAGAAACATTGTTGTGAGAGAAACCTACCAATTGGTTGCCTCCAACACAAGCCCTGACCTGGGAGGCAACCAGGGCCTGGGAGAGCCTAGGAGCCTGCAACAGAGGTACATGCCTTTGACTGGAATTGAACCTGGGACCTTTTGGTCTGCAGGCTGTTGCTTTATCCACTGAGCCAAACTGCCTAGGGCCACTCTGAATAATTATAAACACAGTGTTTATTACAATACATTTCATTTTCAAAATTGAGCTATCAGTTGTTAAAGTGTGTATAAATTTTTTTGGGGGGACATCCTATATTTTCTAAAGATTTAGATGTATTAATTAAATTATATCATGAGATAATTGTTTTTCCAAAAGTAGCTGGTTAAGTATTTAAGAGTTAAGACTTATCTAAATTGCTGAAACCGATTTGGCTTAGTGGTAGAGCGTCAGTCTGCGGACTGAAAGGTCCCGGGTTCGATTCCGGTCAAGGGCATGTACCTTGGTTGCGGGCACATTCCCAGTGTGCAAGAGGCAGCTGATCGATGAGTCTCTCTCATAGATGTTTCTAACTCTCTATCCCTCTCCCTTCCTCTCTGTAAAAAATCAATAAAATATATTTTAAAAATCCAATGATTAAAAAAAAGAACTTATCTAAATGCTTAATCATCTTACAAAATGTAAGATCAGAAGGCAGATATATGCCTTCTGAAATGAAAATAAGTATTTTCTTAATAGCTCAGAAAATTCATCAGGAACATAAAGTACTGTAAATGTTGAAGATAAATTTAAAAGCATAAGGGGCAGAGGCAGCATAAGTATTCATTTGTTTCAGGTTTGGAACTTATTTGCTTTAAAAACTTCTTGATGTCAATGTACTTTTTCATTTGGCAAATAACTGTTGAAGGCCCAGTATAGTTTTGGTCACTTGCCTCTATTTCTTGAAGGCTGAGAAAAGCAAATATAACAGTGTATCTTCTTGCACATTAAAATATGTAGACTACAGGAAAATTAGTGAAGCAAAGGGTAAAGCAAACTCTCTCAAGAAAGCCATCCTCCAGGAAAGCACCTTCACAGCAGGCCAGTAGTGTTGCCTTGTCAGCCCTATTTGAAGTATCTCTTGTGATTATTACATAACAAAGACAATATGCCACAACACATCCTCCCCCCACCCCCCAGCACCCACTGATAAAATGATTTTATAGAGACTGAACTAAAGGTGTTGAAAGAGGCATTACTCCACAGCTTAAAAATCCTTCTTCAGGAGATGACAATGTTTCCATGACTTGGTCCTTGGGGTGTTTTTTTTTTTCCTCTTTAGATTTTAAAACATTTTATTATAGACTTTAAAACATTTTATTATAGAAATTTTCAAACATATGCAAAGGTATAAAAAGCTGTACAATAAACATCCACATACTTAATGCCTACTTTCAATAAGTATCAACTCATAGTCAACCCTGTCTCATCTCTATATTAGTATCTCCTCACCTCCATATTAATTGATGCAAAACTCAGATATTAAAAAAACCTATAATAATAAAAGCATACTATGCTGATTAGGCCAGGCATCCTTCTGGAGGAAGCCGCAGCAGTGGTCTCAGCAGCAGGTGGGGGGGGAGGCAGAGGTGGCCACCTATGCACACCTATGCAGCAGCAGAAGCCAAGCCCCTTGCACAAATTTCATGCATTGGATCTCTCGTTTCATTCATAAACATTTCAGGATGAATTCTTAGAAATAAGAACTTTTAACAGTAAAAACTAATAACAATTTCTTAATATCATCAATTTCCAAATTCCAGTTGTTATAGATATTACAATTTTTGTGTGTGAACAGATCCTAACAAGGTATACATACTGTGACTGACAGATACCTTTTAAGTCTCTTTTAAGCTACAAGGTGTCTTTTTTTTTTTTTTTTTTTTTTAAAGAGCAGTTTTTATATTGAAGAGACCACGTTATTTGTCCTAAATTTTTGTCCTGGTAGTTTTCCAATCTAAATTTTGTTGATTTAATTCCCTGTATAGTTTATCATGTTCTATAAATTGATGGAACTGAAGGCTTTATCCAGCCCTGGTATCTCAGCTGGTTAAAGATCATCCTAATACACAAAGATTGCTGATTTGATCCCCGTCAGGGCAAATACAAGAATCAACCAATAAATGCATAAATTAATGGAAAACAAATCCATCTTCCTCTACCTCTCTAAAGATCAATAAAAGATAAAAAATAAAGGCTTTATCCAAATTCTGGTTATTTTTATTACAACACTACTTGTTTAGGTAGTGATGAGTTCTTTCAACAAAAGCCACATATTTGATTGTCTATCTGTGACAGTGTATGCTGCTGTTCAAAGCCTAGAACCATTAATTCATTAGATGGTTACAAAATAGTGATAATTTAATTTTGTCACTTCTTTATTATTCATCAAATACTTCTACAAAGAGAACATTCCCTTCATTTATTTGGTTATTCAGCAGTATAGTTCATATAGGAAAATCAGACTAAATACTTAACTCTTTCCCTTATATTTTAGTTTTCAAAATAATGAGTTCATTACCATCCTACAGTAGTGACGATTAATTTGTGTGTGAGCATGTACTGTTATGATTTCATAGATATAGACATTATTTTATGTATTTCAATCCATTTTAGTCATTATCCTGATTAATGCTTAGACTGTCCCATTTTTGGCTAGTACTCTCTTCAAATTGACACCTGTGTCCTTTTGGCACTATCCTAGCAATCTTTGATAGCTTCCTTGCCAGCTGTTTTGAAAAGTCCTTAATTTTTAACTTCAGGAAAATTTCAGGTACCAGCACTTTGGACCCCGGCTTCTGTGGCTCGGTTGGTTGAGCACTGTCCCATGCACTGAAAAGCCACTGGTTCAATTCCGGGTCAGGGCACATACCCAGGTTGTGGGGTTGATTCCTGGTTAGGATGCATACAGGAGACATCCAATCGATGTTTTTCTCTCTCTCATCAATAAATTAAAAATTTTTGGCAGTAAAATTTTATAATATTAAAAAATTACACAAAATTTACAGAATGCATTACTACCTTTAACATTTTATATTCTAAAAAATACAAAGGACCACATTTGAGTCAATAAAGCAAATATACTAGTAACTAGAGTCCCGGTGCACAAAATTCATGCACGGGGCGAGGAGGGGGTCCCTCAGCCCAACCTGCACCCTCTCCAATCTGGGACTCCTCAAGGGATGTTCAACTGCCCAACCCACCAGGATCAGGCCTAAATGGGCAGTCGGACATCCCTCTCACAATCCAGGACTGCTGGCTCCCAACTGCTCACCTGCCTACCTTCCTGATTGCCCGTAATCGCTTCTGCCTGCCAGCCTGATCAC